TATAGCCGGTTGGAGATCTTATCAATGTTTGTCTTGTTTGCATTCCCCTCCTTGATCGTCGGTGATGTGCTTTGTTTGTTCTCTCGCTTCGTACCACCTACGGTCTTACGAGTATATTGTCATTTTATTTTGAGACGTAAGAGGTCTCTTATTGCTGTTCTCGCATAGCTATTTACGACTGTTCAAGATGGACCACTCGATGCACACGGGCATGGAGCATGGTGATATGGGCCACGGGGGTATGGGCCACGGCGATATGGATATGGGTGGGAAATGCAATATGAATGTGAGATATAGCCTTCGGTCTACTTTGATCTCATACTAATGTTGAATCTTTGTATCGTAGATGCTGTTCACCTGGTCGTCCGAGAATTTGTGCATTATCTTCCGCAGCTGGCATATCACCGGTCCCTTTTCCTTCCTCTTGTCCCTCATCGCTATCGTTATCCTTACTGCTGGCTACGAGGGAGTACGGTCAGCGACTCGGAAATACGAGGCTGCCCATGCACAGCGGCTAAGTGCGTTCCTGGGCACTACTGCCACTACTGGGGGTAAGTGATTTACTCTTTCCGTGGGTCAATCGTTTGATATTGGAGATATGATAGGGAGATGGTATACTCTGAATGAGCAAGCTTCTTATTGATGCCTTGGCTCTCTGCAGACGCTGAGATCGCGGACCCTATCATTGCCAACGGCCTGGCGGATGCAATCTACAACAATCACCACGAAAGCTCACCACTGCTTGTAGGAAGCGAGAACAGAGCTGCACTGGCGCGCAAGGGGAAGCTTACCATGGCGGCTTTGTATGCCATCCAGGTGTTCTATAGTTTCTTCATCATGTGAGTGCCTCCTAGCAATTCCTCTAGCCTCGTCCTGGCTTGCTGACTTGGTGATTTAGGTTGCTCTTCATGACGTATAACGGGCAGGTCATGATTGCGGTTGCAGTGGGCGCGTTCGTTGGGTACTTGGCTTTCTCCGAAGATACGTCAGCTGCAAAGACAATCGCGTGTCATTAAAGGATCCAATCCGGGGCATTGACAAATTTGCAGACTCAGAGGCAGGCGTAGAAGACGACCAGTATGCCAAATTTTGAATTGGGTTTGGGATTGGAGTGGATGGATTTGAGAGCCATTTCCGGCGGAGAACGGTGCTGGTTTGTGGTGGCGACCTCGTTGTTTTGTGGTTCCATCAATCTCTCTTTTTTGCAGTAATAGTTCATGGAACTTCAACATCACTCCCATCATCACCAAACCCAAAACTGAACCCACCTCCTTCAGTCTCTTGCCCATCAGGGGTGTCCACTGTTTTCCCATGAACAATATCCTCCCACTTGCGCTTCTTGCCTTCGGTCTTCTTCTGCAACTCGTTCCAAGCCTGCTCTAGTAGGTCGGGATATGCCTCGCGCATACCGGTCATAAACCGCTCACATGGATTAGCCACGTTCTTCCGGAATCCAGACACCTGGTCCGGCTTGTTAGACAAGAAATCCAAGGCAGCACCGAGATGGCCCCGGGGAATAAAGTTCTGCGTAATAGCGATCGACGGCTCCAAGTTCACGACCAAATGCCACCACCCAGACGGAACGTGTAAGATCTCACCCTCGCCGCAGATTCCTTCCACGCAGCCCGGGGTCCGGCGTGCCTCGGCATGGAATCCCAGTAGCCATTCGGCAATGCTCAGCGGAGAAGTCACCTCGCTCTGGTCATCCGACACAAAGACACCTGGGGGCGGGGGCTGTTTCGTGCTGGACGGGAACATGATCCAATATTTGGGGCCACGTAGGACGGCATTCCATGCGCTGGTGGCATTGGGGTCTTTGTGGAACTTGCTGCCGGACCGCTCGGGACCAATAATTAGCCACTGATGATCAGGGCGGTCGTCGCCAAGCACGGAGAAGAAGTCTTCAGCGAAGCAAGCTGGGGGCCAGTACGATGCGTCGGGTGTGGTTTCTGGAGATCCGACGGACAGTCCCATCTTCGAGACGAAGGACCGGTCGAATAGGTACAGCGGGCTCTCGTCAGAGTTGTCTGCCATATAGTCGCCGTAAGTGCGCATGGCCCAGTCGACGGCTTCGGCACGGAACTTGGTCTTCCCGTATCGGGCGAGCAGTGACCCAACGGTCCAGTTCTTGTATGCTGGCCAGGCCTTGACAGGCTCAGTCAAGATGAATGGTCGGTCGGTCCACTTTGCTTGGAATTCCTCCGGTGACAGGTCTTGAAGTCGTGCAATCTGGTTCCGCGCCGGGATCTTGGAGACATAGGGGTCGAGTGAGATGTGTGCGCAGTTGAACGGCCGGTATAGAGAATCGGAGAATAGCTGGGAACAGTCCACCATGGGCACTTTAGAGGCAGGGATATTGAGATATGTTGACCGCCATGTTCCTCGCCATGTGAAGTCTTCTCTTGGGTCACTGCAACCAGACTTAGTATGGATATCGTTTGTGTTCATTGGGAAATTATTATATTATAGATAAGGGTAGGGCTCAAGAGCAAAACATCACTCGGATCTACATAATTCAACTGGATCTGCAGGCTTGTAGCTTACCGAACAAACAGCGCCTTCCAAAGTTCTTCAGCCCGGGTAAATGCATAAAAGGCCTTGCATGTCCGCCCGATTCTCAATAGGCTTGGCCCGTCGAAGCCCTCCAACAATAAGAGGATTAGTTCGTCTGGTAGATGTTGGAAGGTGCCTATGGCGTTGCGAAGACTCCAGGTAGCCAACAGAGCATTCCCACTTGGTTTCACGCCTAGTGGGTGAGAGGGAATGGCCTCCCTTATTATCTCTGCATCTTGTGGTGATGGATGACTCGGCAACGACGTGATGTCAGGCATGATCTGAGATTGGCACTTTTAGGGCTTCAAAGATGGTTTTTTAGTGGCGACCTAGCCCAACTGGAAGGTAGTTCACCAAGTAAATGGGAACAAGAGAAACTGGATTGACAAAACCAAAGAAACAGATTCAATCAATAATTTTCACCACACCAATCAAACCAAAAAACAAAATATAATCAACAAGAGGATGTTTTGATGTTCATCTCGCCCACTCTAAACTCGCTTGGGCTTGGTCACACCTCAATATGGAAAGCGGTGGGATAATGCCCCGTAAAAAAAAAAAGCGTAGCAAATGGCGCCGCGGTTGTGGCCATTCGATTTTTTCGCTTTTCTTCTCTTCCTCTTCCCACCCCATTTGTGAATTTCACATCCAACCCCTTTTTTCAACCTTTCCTAGTATCCTATAAAAAGACTCTTTCATAAAGAGTCTGAGGTACTAGAAGTCAACTTTCCCACGCAGCGAACCTATACAAGTTCGCTAAAACTACCCCACCACACCGATCACAGCCAACGCCTGTGATCTTTTCTATCAAACCGCAAATATGGCTGACAAGGGTCTTGAGGATCTTGCCGAGGGTATGTGCTACATTCCCGTCACTTTTTGATTAAAGACCCGTTACTTGGCTTTTGGCTTTCGCTGGAAGTCGCAACCGCGATCGCATTCAGTCTTGGGTGGCGTCGGATATGGAAGGCATTATATGAATATGGAGGCTAACATTGCAATTTTTTTCTCTCAATAGGGCAGATCGAGTCTAACTACGATGAGGTCACCGACTCCTTCGACTCCATGGACCTGAAGCCCGAGCTGCTTCGCGGTATGTACCCCTTCGTCTTATCAGGTGGGGTTGAAAAAAAAATACTAACAGTGGGATACCAGGTGTCTACGCTTACGGTTTCGAGCGTCCTTCCGCCATCCAGCAGCGTGCTATCATGCCCATCATCAAGGGTGAGTTTTGCTTTATTCCAAGCCCACTTTTAAAATTCGCGCCTAACCTCTGAGGTCAGGCAACGATGTTATCGCCCAGGCTCAGTCCGGTACCGGTAAGACCGCTACCTTCTCCATCTCCGCCCTGCAGAAGATCGACCCCGAGGTCAAGGCCTGCCAGGCCCTGATCCTTGCTCCCACCCGTGAGTTGGCTCAGCAGATCCAGAAGGTCGTTGTCGCCATCGGTGACTTCATGTCCCTCGACTGCCACGCCTGTATCGGTGGTACCAACGTCCGTGAGGATATGAACGCTCTCCGCGCCGGCCCCCAGGTCGTTGTCGGTACCCCCGGCCGTGTCCACGACATGATCCAGCGCCGTGTTCTGTCCACCACCGCCATGAAGCTCTTCATCCTCGACGAGGCCGATGAGATGCTGTCCGTAAGTTTTTTATAATTGATATGATGTGTATCAATCGGTTCTAACTCTTTTTTTCAGCGTGGTTTCACCGAGCAGATCTACGACATCTTCCAGCTGCTTCCCCAGTCTACCCAGGTCACTCTGCTCTCCGCTACCATGCCCCAGGATGTCCTCGAGGTCACCACCAAGTTCATGCGCGACCCCGTCCGTATCCTTGTCAAGAAGCAGGAACTTACCCTTGAGGGTATTAAGCAGTTCTACATTGCTGTTGAGAAGGAGGAGTGGAAGCTCGACACCCTCTCCGATCTCTACGAGACCGTCACCATTACCCAAGCTGTCATCTTCTGCAACACCCGCCGAAAGGTCGACTGGCTCACCGACAAGCTCACTGCCCGTGATTTCACTGTCTCCGCTATGCACGGTGATATGGAGCAGGGCCAGCGTGATGTTATCATGAAGGAGTTCCGTTCCGGTTCTTCCCGTGTCCTGATCGCCACTGATCTTTTGGCCCGTGGTATCGATGTCCAGCAGGTTTCCCTGGTCATCAACTACGATCTCCCCGCTAACCGCGAGAACTACATTCACCGTATCGGTCGTGGTGGTCGTTTCGGTCGCAAGGGTGTTGCCATCAACTTCGTCACCGCTGACGATGTTCGCATGCTCCGCGAGATCGAGCAGTTCTACTCCACCCAGGTTGAGGAGATGCCCATGAACGTGGCTGACCTCATCTAAACACCCTAACTCTTGACGTCTTGATGCGGTTTACGATCGCAGAATCTGCGTTAAAAGTGGCTTTCTGCGTTTCCGCCTGCAGTGTGCCGGGGAAATGATTGGGGCTATGCTTCCGCATATTGAGTCGACAAGTCGACGCCCCGGCCATTCCCCCGGCCCTTGCTATGGTTTCCTATGTCTTGCACCAACGGAGATGAGACATGTTTGCGTTCACCTCTTGCTGCTCCGTTTTATCTTATTTTTTATGCATTTCCCTCTGTTTTTCCCTTGTCTGTATCTAGCTCGCTCTTGTTGGTTAAGGATGCTGCTTCTTCTCGTACTTAATCAATAGACCGGGCCAAAATGTGACTTGTTCCTCAGGGCGTCGTCCTTGAATGATATTAAAATACGTATTCTGTTTATTGAATATATATACCTAGGGTAACTATCACCAGCTTGCCCCCGGTTGATCAGTACCTGTTGTCTAGATTCCGTAATATTAGTTATTCTTTCCTCTCACAAGTGTGTGAGGACCAGAGGGACACAAGCGCAATTGATGTCTGTTTGACAGCCATTGGGCCCATCATCTTGAGGCCCAAAGATTTGTCGCCCGTAGCCCAAGCTTCATCACGAATTGGAGAATGAAGCCCTAGTTTCTGAGGCCCCCAAGATTTTACAAATTCAGTATACTCTCATGAAACGGAACCTTCCCGGTCGGTCGTAAGTAGGAGCCACATGTTCCGAACTTGCAAGCAAGGCCAGAGGGGGTCATCCGGGCCTTCTTCAAAATCGCAGCTCTCTAAATCTCAGAAGCGAATATGTCAACGCTTGGAATGTGCCTCTACATTGACAATTATCAGGCCTTTGAGCTTTTTCAATATCTTTGCACTCAATATCTCTCACTTTATTTGTCTTTTATAGATATTGAATTCCTCGGAACATGTTCCGATGCTCGGACAAGCGAGCCGATGGTTGTGGCTCAATGTGGAAACTGTTGATATACCAATTCACAAATAACGAAAGCCGTATTTTAATAAACAGACTGTGGTGCTATTGGGACTTTTGTGCGAATAATAACCCGTGTACTTCGACACTCGAAGTATAAAATTCAATCAAACACAATATATATCGCGAATCATACACGTAGTAGTGGAGGTTAATGTATTGTTGAATAGTACCCTAATTGATCATCATTGAATTCTATACTCCGTAGTGTCAGATATATAGATACATATAAAGATACATGTCTTTCTCTCTATTTTCTTTAGCATGCGAAATAATGCTCTACATAGTGGGTAAAGATACAAGCGGTCGGCGCAGAAACCCGCCCAATTCTGGAGTTCTCCGCATCGTTCGGAGAACACCCGAACCTCCGATTAACCCTCCCCCACGACTTCTTTCCTTGAGTTCTCTTCTTTGTCAATCGCATAGCTCCAATTCCCTCCAAAATGGCTTCCATCCGCGCCAACTGCCGCAAGATTATGTGTATCGGCCGTAACTATGCGTGAGTCTCCCTGTCTCCCCGCGCCATATTTCCCTCACGAGTTCCGACAGCGGCGCCGCTTTCTCTCCCTCTGGGCCATAATTGCTAACAGCATGGATTGATACAGCGATCACATTACCGAGCTCAACAACACAGCCCCCAAGCAGCCATTCTTTTTCCTCAAGCCCGCATCATCCATCCTCACCCCCGGTTCGGGTCCCGTCCTCCGTCCCAAGGGCGTCAGCCTGCACTATGAGGTCGAACTGGGACTGGTGATCGGCAAGACCGTGCGCGATCTCGATCCCAACGACGAACAGGCCGCATTGGACGCGATTCAGAGTGAGTGCAGCATGCGATCCGGATCTGAATGGGCATACCGCATTGTACACCACATCGGTGGACTAAGGACATGGGATCAAGCAGCAAGTCGCTAACAAAACAAAATCATTGTGGTAAACAGGTTACGTACTCGCCATTGATATGACAGCCCGCAACGTGCAAGATGAGGCGAAGAAGAAGGGCCTTCCTTGGTCCATCGCCAAGGGCTTTGACACCTTCCTCCCTATCTCGCAGGAGATCGCCAAGTCGCGCATCCCTAACCCACACGACGCATTCCTGCGCCTGAGTGTTGGCCAGAATGAGCGTCAGGCTGACTCAACTAGCCTGATGCTGTACCGCATTCCCCAGCAGCTTGCGCAGATCTCACGCGTCATGACGCTGGAGAAGGGTGACATTGTTCTTACCGGTACGCCCAAGGGTGTTGGACAGGTCAAAGCGGGTGACGTTATGAGGGCATCGATTGAGGTTGGTGGAAAGGAGATTGAGGAGGGACGGATTGAGGTCGAGGTGCAGGATCGCGAGGGGCGGTATGAATTCAAGGAGACTTAAGTTTTTTTTGGGGTTGTATATTTTGACTTATAGAGACTAGAAGTATATATGGTGAAATCATCATTTGGAGATTCAAAGAACAACAAAGTGATCTACCGGGCACACATTTAGGACACGACAAAAAACATACAAAATAAATAAAATAAAATAAACAAATCCAGGGAGCCCTGGAGCATCCATAGCAACATCTCTCATCAGAGTCGAGAGTGAAAGAGGAGCCGTGAATAAGTTGGCAACAGGTTCCCCGTCTGCCAAGACATTGCAATGTTTGCCTCCGACTTCAAGGACCAAATGTTTTCCTCGACTCAAACATCACTAGACCTATCAACATGCAAGTCGCAGAGATTCTCTCAGACATCAATTCCCTCCGCGTCTGCGTAAGTATCATGCTTCCTCCAGAAGGCTGCCCCACTACGACAAACGCGTCCAGGCCGCGTTTTGGAGAAACAGTACCCCACCGGATAATATGACAACGCTGACAGCATGGCACAGGGTCACAACGAGGCCCTGGCACTGGTGAATGTGCACAAGAATATCACAGGCTCGGATTCAACCGAGTCTGGTAGCGCATTGGCTGATAAGAGCCCAGCAGACGACAAGGCCGATCTTCGTCGTGCAAAGGAACTGGTTGAGCTACACTATGAGGTGAAGGCGAGACATGCCAACGGAACTGTTGACGAGGAGCTGAGCCAAGCTCGGCAAGATGTCCGGCGTGTTCTGAGGGAGCTGTCGACTGTCTAATCACTGCCATTGGGACTTTTCTTTTTTGGATATGGAAACGGGCGTTCAGGATCGCGGTTACTGTTTTTTTTTTCCTTTCCCATTTCCTCTTCCATCATTTTTTTGATTGAGCGCATGGATTTCGGTGGGCTAGTTTGGTCCAAATATCCTATTGGATTCATCTTGACTTGCTCTTTGCTTATGACATTCTCCCAAATGCACACTCACACGCCCCGAGTTCATGAGAAAGGGAACTGTGGAAGTCCATGAGTTGATGAATTTATTGCATCTGCAGACCCTCACAACTCTTTCTGGACGTACTGTACGATCTGATCATGAGCAACTACGCGTCCTTCGGTCGTTTTGCACAAATCTCCAATGACCCTGGCCCGCCTCTGAATCTCTTTATCCTTTATCACTCGCAGAAGGGCCGAAGACAGCTCTGATCCGTTTATTTTTGGTGCCACATTGCGGCTTCCATGTAAGCCAATGCCTAGCCACTCTACTCGGGCCGGACAATCGTATGTATCGAACCACTGGGGTAGAATGACCTGTGGAGTACCAGCCCTGGGAAGAGGCATCAGCGCCTTTTCTTTCATTAATGTGTGATCTCAAGGAAAACTTACTTGCATGCCTCGAAAAATGAATTGGCTCCTCCATGGTGGACATATGCAACTATATTACCGCCTTCCAAAATAGATATAATCTCTGGCTGGATCCATGGGAAAATCCTCGCTTTATCAGAATTAACAAGAGGTCCGAGAATATTCTTGACCTTCGGGGAGCTTTCCCAGTCATATTTGAGCTTCCACAAGACCTGCATATTAGGGAACTCGTGCACAACAGCCTGAATTGCCATCGTCATCTGCATTGCATCATCCTCTGGGGCTTGAACATGTGATCCAAGACATATCAGAATCGTTGGTTTCTTCAACCACAAATCCAGTGCTGGATCGCTTTCTATAAGCGACGAAAATGACCGGACGATTGGACCACAGCTAATGACATTAACCGGGACATGTAACGGAAAATCCATTTCTCGGAATGAAGGTGAGAGATGCAGATGGTTTTCACAGTAAGGCGCCACGTGGGGAAATGTAGTCCGAATTCCTGCTTTCATTCGAATTTCCAGAAGATCACGAATGGGCTTGCCGAAGCGAACAATCCATCCGAAGCAAAACACCATATATATATTTGCCAGTATCAGTCTCCATGGTAGGGGATATGGATATCCTGATCCGGTACTGAATATGAAAGTCAGTGAGATCTTCGAACTCCATCAAGGAGATATGAGTTGCTCACAGGGGGTATTTCCAAAAAATCCCAGCCTTCGGCTGGACAGTTACCACGATATCTTTCAAAGGCACAGGCCACAACATCGCAATTCGCGACTCAATACTGCGAGCGGCATCTAGTCCTAGATGCAACAGCGGATCTGCAACCACGACTACCGGACGAACATCTTTCAAAATCTCGAGACAGCTCCGGTATGACAGTATATACTCTTCAGGCTTCCATCCCAGCACGGATATATTGATTAGGTTACATGCGTCACGCGTTCCGGCAAGCCCTGGCCGATGACATATATCCGGTATTGTACGGGTCACGATCTCAGACAGGGATGGACCTGCAATTGGATGAAAGTGAATGACTTGGTCGTACCCGGGTTTGTCATTTATCGCTTGCACCCGAGTCGATAATTCCTTGAAGGAGGCGATGTGGATTTCGAACTCGCCACGGCGTAGAAACTCTTCGGCCACTGCAAGTGCGACGTTAGACTGCCCATGCTCGGGGCTTGTGAGGAAGAGGATAGGCTGTTTTGGAGGGGACATGATGTTCATTTTTTCGCTCGAGTTTTCTATGGGTCCTAATTGAATAGGTTGTTCCTGGTCACAGGTTTTATTTTGAGTGTCTGAACCATGTATCCCACCATTATAAGATGCGTTGCATCTTATAAATACTAGCCGATGTATGGTTACTCGGTGCTTACTGAAGTAGACAAAGGGGAATATTCATTGTGTGGGTTCTTTCATAGTGACTCGAAAGGGAAGGTAGTATCCGGGTGTCATATTTGTGGCTAATCTCTCATAAAAGCCCCGAATCTCATCCTTGAGCTTTAAAATGCTTGCTTGTGTATCATTTGATATCCTTTCATTAAGGAGAATAGATACCCCTGTATTAATGGGAACAGGGACCACGGATATGCAGGAGTAAATGAACGAATTAATGGCCTGTATATAATTTCCGACCTAAGTATCCAAGTTTTCGCAAGCACCCAAGAGTGACGGCCAAGCCGACCAAGTTCAGTGCGAACAGAAACAAGAATGCAGTCCGATAGCCGCTCATCCATGTCTCTGGGGATTCGTGCAACGGAGGCCTCTGGCCAGGGGTCTGGAGTAGCTGAGTGCTGACATCGTTTGAAATAAGTGCAGCCAATGCCATTCCTACGGAGGCTCCAACCATTGCCACAGTGCAGAGCACTCCCACTGCAAGCCCCTGAGTTTCTAAAGGAAAAGACCCAGCGATCATCATTGTGGCAATTGGGATAACGGAATTTGATGCCACTGAGTTCAATGAAACGGCGGGCATCGCACAGTTCCAGTAAGGCCAATCCAGGCTCAATGTAGCCATCAAGAGTGGAGAGAGACTAGAGAGCACTATTGCAATGACGAGGATTCGGTTCGCCTCAACACGAGATGAATATTGTCCAATGAGCAGAATGCTCAGCGCGCCGGCGATTGGGATTGGCAGATATTGCCAAGAAGACCGTAGAAGCGAAAGCCCCTGTGCTCGTTGGAATACGAAGATCATAAGCTGCGAGGTGGAGTGAGAAGACGCGTAGACGAAGAAAACAACCAGACTGATGGAAAGGAAATGGCAGTTTGTCCAAAAAGAATTTTGAACGTGCTGTGTGCTGTCTCTTTCCCAGCAATCATGCCAGAACAGGAATGCAACCAGGAGGATCCAACCAAGAGCAAGAGGAACGAAGAGGCCCGATCTGCCAATAGTTGCTACATTGTTTGTGATGACACTAGTTTTCATTTGATTAGCGTCCTAAAAATATAGAGCATAGTTGAGATTGGGGATACGTACGCCAATGCAGAGAACAGGAGCGCTGTCAATGAGGTAGCAAGCAGAGTTCCAGACCAGTCGATATCCTCAGCCAGTTCTGACCAAGGGATATATTTCGGTTCATGGGCCTGTTGGGGAATCGTCCAGATCGATAGGAGGAACACAAATAGGCTCAAAATTGCGGCGCAATGAAAGCCCCATCTCCATCCGGCTGTCTCCGAGAGTAATCCACTAAGGACGATGCCAACCCCAGAACCAATAAATTGACTTGCACTCGTACAGGAAAATGCCAAATTGCGTGACTTCCCAATTGGAAAATTCTCTCCGTGAATGCTCATTGCGGAAATGAAACACATTGGGTAAGCCACACCAGACACACATCTGACAGCAATAAGCTGCGCGCCGGTCCGAGCTAGTCCGCTAGCTAGATGGCAAACAGTCTGTAGAAAGCATCCGGATAGAAATGTTCTCCTACTGCCTAGGATATCTGCTAAAGATCCTGCCAGTAGGAATGTGCAGCCTTGAGCGAGATAGTACATTGACATTGGCCTGTGGAGTTGTGAGCGTGGCTTGTTTTGTGTAACCAGATTATTAGAGATGTCTCTTACCATAATTCAATTCCAGGGCCCAATCCGAATTCAGATGAAAATTGTGTGATATTGAGGGTGACTAGGCCGTTGAGTGCACAGGCAATAAACAATACCGAGGCCGTGCAAATTATGATGGCGAGTCCATGAGAGTGGGTGTCCGAGCGGGGGAGGGACCCGAGAAGCGGCTGATCCTCAGGGATCTGGAGATCATCTAAACATTCATATTCTGACACTGGATGATGTCTAGCTTTTTGCATTCTTGAATGTTGAGATGATTGAGATGATTGAGATTCAGGAACAACCCTGAATGTTGGAAATCTTAAAAAAAAAAACAAAAAAGCAAAGCCAAGAGCCGAGACCCTTGAAAGTATTGTAATTTCAACTACGGGGGTATTTTTGAACTCTACTAATCACATGCCGGTCCCAAGGTCCACTATTCAGGTTTCCCCCGGGCTATTCGCCCGGGGGTCGGGACCTGACTTCGGGAGTCAAAGTGGCTTACATAATTTACTGTCAGGACCCCTAACCATGGAAGGAGCTTGGTGCCTCGGTGCCTTAGGTAGAACTATACAAATTCCAGTCCATATCCATATAGTAAAAAAAATGTATTTATAATTAGAAAAATCTAGAATTTTGACCATGAGCCTACAAGGATAAATGTGAGGTTTATGAAACTGCAATACTAGTCTTGAATTCCAACTATTCATATTTGTATTGGAATTAATATACTAGGTTTTGCAGAGAACACAAAGGACATTGATCATTTGACTCACCCATGAATCCAAATGCTCGGCGAGGACCAAAGTTATAAACCTATTGATTGTTTTCAAATATACAACGCAGCGAAGAAAGTTATATCCTGATCCTTAAATCAAGATCATCCAGAGGAGTTAAGAGAGTTGGCAGAAAAACACCATAAACCAATGGAGCAGTTACAGGCCAAATTATGTGCAATTTAAACTAAAATCATGATCAAATATCCACTAGGTCTGGCGAATCGCTCGGCTCCCATGGATGTTTGTCCTCCACTGAACGAATGAGGGATTCATGAGCCACACTGCGAGGTCCGATGTGGAACTTCCATGGTTCCGGATGACTGATAACCCCAGGTTGGAATTTTGGTTGGACATCAACTTCTTTCCCATCTTCGACGGATTTTGTTATATTAAAGACAGCAATGAATTGCGCTGCACTCAAATACAATGTGATATCTGCCAAGATACGGGCGGGACAGATGCGACGCCCAAATCCAAAGGCAAGATCATGAGGATCTAACTCGGGCTCACGTCCATTAATCTCTAAAAAGCGCTCTGGTTTGAATGCCATGGGATCATGGTAAACAGTGGGATCATGCATCATAGCCCTTTGGTAGATGTCAGTAGACCACTATAGATTTGAGATTCGGGAGATTAGTTGGGAACTCAGACTCACCAGATGTTAGGCATAAGCAATGAGCCCTTTGGAATGAAATATTCTCCCCAGTTGCTATCTTCACTTGATGCGTGGGGAAGTCCCATAGGTGCCACTGGATGCCATCGCAAGACTTCTTTCACCATAGCATTGATATACGGCAAACGAGAGCGATCGCCGACTGTTGGGAGCTGGGAAGACCCCAAAACTCGATCAATCTCATCTTGGGCTTTACCTTGGACCTCGGGATATAGTGTCATTGCAAGGAAAAAACATTCCATGGCACACACAGTCTAGAGAAACTTAGCCAAAGACAAGAAAATAAGGATCGAACACCTCACGGTATCAGCACCACCTGTATAAAGTGATGCAGCTGACCACTTTGCAACAAACTCTTCTTCGGATCCGGGTGAAGGGCATCCCGTTGTTTTAAATAAGTTAGAAAGATAAGAGGGCTCATACCGACCTTCTTCTGTTTGCCGCCGTGTGAATGCGTAGGGCTTTTCTGCGACCATCATGAGATTCTTCTTCCATGCTTGAGCAGTGCGCTTGAAACTTGCTCCCGGAAGCCAGGACGGGACGTATTTTACTGTTTTCCGTTAATAAAACATCAACAGCCAGTTCACGGCAAAGATAGAAACATACAAGCTGGAATAATATCAACCAGCCAGACACCCGGTGTACTGGCCTTGGAAAAGTGCTCAAGGGCCAGATTTGCAATATGCACCAATGAATCACGCTTGTGTGACTCAATAGTATACCCATATGCAATTTTGAGAATGATAGCACCAGCCTCTCTGTGAAACAAAATATTCTATGTCTTAGCGCTGAAAGAGATGGTTGGGACATCTGCTCACGTTTGGATGTGCTCTATGAGCTTCGTCGGATCTTTGAGAACGCGAAACAGAAAGCGGTGGGTTTCCACCTCTTGTAGAGGATGAAACTGAGCCACAGCCGACTCGGATCCAATGTATGGTTGCATTGCCTTGCGATAGGAGCGAAATCGAGGAGAGTATTTTTGCATTGCCAAAAAGTTCTCCCATCCCACCCTTTATCAGCGCATCAGCTCTGTGTCCAGATTCAACCAAGTAAGTGCACTGACATTTCGGACGCAAAAACTAGATTTGGCCTTGAGGAGTATATTGAAGAGCGCTTTGCTAGTAGTTCCATCGCGGATTTTGCGTCATTCAATATTACGATAGTTTGTCCCAGCACCGTGATAGAGCTGACCGGCCCTGAAGATTCATTGCGTTAGCATGTGTTTTGCAAAACAAGAACAGGCGTAAAAGCCAACCGTAAGCCTCTTTGTGTTGCAGCCAATGCATCCAGTCTTGTGTCCCTGGCGGCGGTAGATCGGATATATTGCTAAGCACTGGGATTGGGCGTGGGCCCGGTGGCAGCGGGCCAACAAGCCTCTGGCGGGTCAATAAGAATTTGGCGACATAGAGGACAAGGGCTCCCAGAAACAAACTAAAGAAAATAATGAATAACATCGAGATGGTTGAGTACTAAGAAATGAAGATGATAGAGGAACTAAAAATGGTTACAACAGAAGTAAAATGGCACCTGTCAAATTGGTGACTTGCACTTCTCGCTCTGTCAGAGTAAAAAAAATCCAGTTTTGTTAATAAGACTGCGCTGCAACCTAAAGGTTTCAAGGTTCTCCTATTGGCTTCAAGCTTACCAGTCCCCGCATATACGTGTCCCTTGCTTCCCCGCGGCGCTGCATACCACCAGAACTACGGAGTACCTAGGTAGAATGTGTAAAGGAGAAAGTATGGTCTTGAACAAGGTTACCACCTGGGCATTGATCCATGATCCTGGAGACTCCATCCAAGGCTCAGCAAAGCTCATTCAAATCCTAAAAGGAGCTCAACAAAGATCCCAACTTCGATAAAAACATATTTTTATTTTGAACCTCAAGGCCCTTTATGGCATCCAATCAACTGGTCAATAAATTGGCTGCGGAGTCGGGTGGGGGTGCGGCTCAAATCGTAATGAGTGCAAATCGACCTCGTCAACTCTCAACTCTCACACCTGGCGCCGTGATGTATGGACTATATGACTCGACAGGTGCAAATATATTGGAATTTTTCTACTTCTACCTAGCCCAAAATGTGATCCCTGCCACCCTTATCATCACCACGCGGAAAAGCTCTCCCTTACGCTATCTGTGCATTCCAGGAATGATATGGGTCGCGAGTAGGTTCATCCGTCCCTTTGGCTCGTCTGGCAGTCCCACTTGGTGCCAGGCCATAACACAACTTGTTATTGCGACTTTGCAAGCAACGAATCTGTTGTTGCTCCATCCTTTGGCCAACTCAGACATCCCGCACAGCACAAAGAGCATTCAAGACTTCACATCTAGGTTGATTGCAGCATTTCGCTTGCTTTCTCAAACCCGCGCTGTCAATACACAATGGCAGGTGAAGAATGTGCCCTCTCATCCAAAATATTACCTGCGGCGGGGTATGCAGGTCCCAACACGGGGTCGATTCTTGCTGCGACAGCTAGGAATCGTCGCATGGCAGTGCTTGGTGCTGGACATCGTGCAAACAGTGTCGCTTCAGCAGACTAAGGAATGTGGTCTGCATGAGCCCGCATCATTGGAAATCGAATGGATGGTACCTGTTGGACAATGGGTAGAGCGAATAGCTACGCATCTGTCTATTTGGTTTGTAGTAAACCGTCTAATCACTGATCTGGCATATCGAGTACTGTCAATATTCTTCGTCGGGATCGGGCTAGATTCTCCTGCAGACTGGCCACCAGCCTTTGGGAGTATGGCCGATGCGTTCACATTGCGCAACTTTTGGGGGTGGGCAAAATTTATTTTATTGGGATGCATAATTATGTTGACGCATTTTACAGGAAATTCTGGCATCAATTCATGCGACAGCCGTTCACTTCTATCAGTAACTTCATCGCACGAGATGTTCTGAATCTTACCCGATCGTCAACACTCGAGCGATATACCAATCTTTTTATCGTCTTTCTCATCTCTGCGATATTCCATGTCATCGTCGACATATTGCAGAGCGTTCCCATGGAAAGGTCCGGCTCGATGCCATTCTATTTAGCGTTTGTCCTCGGGATAATGCTCGAGGATGGCGTGCAAAATATTTGGAAACGGGTACAAACATCAAACGACAGACACGAAAAGGCAAAACAATCATCAGGAATCGTCCCGCTTTGGAAGCGAACTGCTGGGCTAGTATGGGTCATGCTATGGCTTGGGGTCACCTCGACATGGTATTTTACTCCGATGATTCAATCCACGAATGACGATCTGCGAGTGATTCCTTTTAGTGTTGCAAAATATATCGGTTTCCAGCCGCTCGTGGGCATCGTTGTGGGTAGTGGAGTTGGCATTGCAGTTGTGCTTGAGGTCGAAATATGAGACACAAAAACATCTGCTCTCGGCACAAGGACATAGATCGCCGGATAGAAATTGGGGATCTGGAGGTGCCATTGTCCATTGTTAGTATCGGCAAATCAAAGGGAAAGGAAGAGCCATGATACTGCTTTGAGAGAGGGAAAGAGAGAAATCATAGGTCTTCTCCGCTTGAGGCACGCATCATCCCTAACGACGGTGTCCACGGGTAAACATTTTGTTTGATCTCCACAACTCTAGAGGTCACAAATTATTGAATTCTATCCCGAAAATGAAACCGTCTTCGCTTTGGCCAATGACTCTCACCAAGCGCTATCTCGAGTATATACAGGTTGTCGTACTTAATTGGCTGTTATGTACTGACATTTTTGCCCCCTGCCAGGTCACGGCGAGAATTGATAATCCGGCATAATGGCGTTGTTTGTCCGAGTTAAAAGCAGATTCAGTTTTGAATCACCCCCGAAATGGATGCAATCATCAAATCGACGCATCAAGACGAGCAACTCCCGCAAGATCCAACTCATGCACGGTACCCCAGTTCTTCTCTAGCTTCTGGATGGCCCGTTGCTGTCCATATCGAACCAAGAATCGATAGACCGCCACATATGCACTGTTCAACGAACCAACCACCCACCCATGATGGACACTCGCAGCCTCCCCTACGATGTGAAACTTGCCATCGGCCGCTGGGAGAGACAAAGAAGGGTAAAGATTGGTGAATTGCCCAGGGGCAAAAAGCGCAAAGGCCCCCGACGAAAAGCGTGAATTACCCCAGCAGAAAGCATGATGATCCCGATACAGGTTTTTCAGTTTCTCATAGGTGATTCCGTGCTGTCGGTGTTGCTGGGCGAGATCACGAAGGACAAGATCAAGTAGATCATCCTCCTCATCTACACCCCCATCTGAGCTGACGGAAGACGGATTGATCAGAGCCCCCATACGGGTGGCATCTTGGCCCCAGGTGTACGAGGCCAACAAAACGGCTGGCTGATCCCAGTTTTCTTCGGCGATATTGGATGGGTAGACGCAGGTCCGTGAGGGGAGGGTCGATGAGACACTGCCGCCCCCTCGAATCCCGCAGTCTACGATCCACCATGGATACGCAAACTTGATACCCACCTTGGTAGAGTCTTCATACCGCAAACACCGGATGGCTTCCTCTTGAACAGGATCAAGATCGAGTGTGCTAGTGTCGATGCGCTGCAGACATGCTAATGGAGTAGTACTAAACACTGTCGCATACCCATCGCGAGCTTCTTCCTCGCCTGCACATGACACCGAAAGATCGGCGCTGTGATTGAGGGCAATACAGCGAACGTTTTTACCGAGCTCAATGCTGCTGTTTCTGTTAATTTGACGGCACATTCGCTCAATAACTACGGAAGAGCCACCGTCGACAGAATACCATTTCACTGCCCCACTGTCCTCGGACGCTGTTGTGGATTGATCGAGGTCAAAAGAGTCCATGACACTCTCTGAAAAGGCTTGATCAAACATTCCTGTGCCAGTCGTGTCGCTCTCGGCAGATTGGATTGTCGTAAAGTCTGACTTGTGGTTGCCTCGGAGATATTCGCGGGTGCTCATTGCATCGGCTTTCATTAGAAGCTGGAACCCCTGCACAAAGTTTTTTTGCATAACCTTCTTATAGGGGCCGAAGGATTGACTGAGAAGATTGGCGGATGAGCAATCTTCGGTCTTGAGAATATCAGGGCCTTTCGTGTTCGTGTCTCTTTCCCGCATGTCGAATTCCTTCAATGGTACTTGCATTCGGCGAAAGAGATCAAATACTCGAGACATGATGGGGATATCTGGAAACCGCATTGCACCCACATCGTAGTAGTCATTGTGCGCCTCAGAGAAGCGATGGGTATAAATGCGGCCACCAATGCGATCCCAATTGGCCTCAAGGATATCCCAGGAAAGATTTGGGACCTCCAGATCCTGCAAAATCAGTGCAAGGTACAGACCTGCAATCCCAGCCCCGATAATGCATACTTTGGTATTTTTGTCCAGGGGAGGGTCTGAGCTTTCTTCCTCTCGGTAGCTTGTGAGAACAGAAGGGACAATCTTCTCGATCGGAGTTACTCCAAAATTACCAGGATTACCAGGACCGCAAATTGAACAGCCTGGACAACAAGGGCATTCAAACGAATGGGCAGTCGGGTGCTTCAGAGGATCCTGACATAGAGAAACTCGTATAGAAGGCCTCGATAATACGTCACGATATGGAAGCTGGAGCTGCATGACGAGATCCAAATGGGTAGAGACCAGTGCAAGTGAGCTAAAAGGTAGAAAAGTATGTAGGTGGGAGGTAAGTATGAAAACCACTTTCCTATGAAAACCACTTTCTGTTGTATGGAGTATGTAAATGAAAAACTACCTTGGGTATGTAATTTTGGGGGATGTTCTATTTCTGTTAATTACAATGAACCTGTATTTATTACAGTCTATCTATAGACTACGGCTGATATCTCTCAATCGACGGGTGCTGATGATGTGATCCATGAGGATGCACCTACACTGGCACTCTGGGAGGGGTAGACACATAGGGGGATTCGACTGGGCATTGAGAACATTTCACGTCAAGATTCGGAACCATTCATGTTAGTCAATTGCACATATATCTTTGGGGCTGGCTGAATTATGACTCGAGCGTAAGCAGCCTGCATGCGTAGATGTGAAGAGGTGTAACTGGCGAGGAACGTGCATGCACCTAAATGATGACAGGGTCGAGACCTGTCATTATGCATATTATTGCGTGTCTTACGGAAATCCGCGATGAATTGTTACTTTTTTTAAATTAGAAAATAATTGGGATCTTTTTCATTCGTCTAGGTACCGACAGCCCTCTGAGACATATTTCAGAGCGTATCTCGCTCATGTGGCAAGATTCACGTTCTTACGGAGTACATGATTCGCTAGTAATTAAGTCAGATACTACTTCAAGCGCGTATACATATCATTTGCCTATGTGGGTTAGACTCTTTTACTGGCGAAATCAAATTTTTAATATGAAAAAAAGCGCGAAATCCACTCGTTCAAAGCACTCTCCCAGCCCGCTAGTTTGCTCTAATCCGTGTTTGCCTATCACTAAACCGTTAAATTATCTGGGGTTGTTGGATTAAACTTTTCGTGGCAGCATAAGCAGGGAAGACGTTCCTGAAGTCCCCTCTCTGATATCGAAATTGCGTAGGAGCTGTTTGAATAATGATATCAACGAAAGCACTCCACGAAACAGACATTATCAAGTTATATTGAGCGCATACCGTAACCAAGGTCTTGTATAGGACCAGGACCCCTATGTGTCGCCCGGGACACTTGCGATAGCCAAATCCCCAATGCGCATCATAAGCATTCCACACTCGCAACTGCTCCTCCGAGGCCTCCAGCCACCGCTCAGGAACAAACTCTTCGGCATTTTCGCCGTAAAGCTGAGGGTGGGTGGAGATGGTGAAGGGACTTGTAGCGACCGCAGTACCTGGAGGAACTTCCCGATCTAGAAGACGCAGTGGCCTGTCTGGCGAGCAGCGCCATCTAGGAGAGGCCGTCGCCGTGATACGCATGGCCTCCCGGACGCAGGCATCAATAAAGGGGAGGGCACAACATTCTGTGTAGGTGGGCGAGGGGGTGGATAGGGTCTGCTGGGTAAAAGCGTTATCAATCTCTTGGTGAGCTCGCCGAACGGCCTGGGGATGTTTGGCCATTGTGGTCACCAGATGGCTAATCGTGGTGGCGAGTGCATAAGGACCACCAAGTCTGTGCGAATGGAGTTAGTATGTATTGAAAGGGGGACGTTTGGGTTGGGGGAACTCACACATCTGAAACTAGCTGGTCCTCGATATCCGATAGGGGAATGCCTTCTCCTGTCGCAGATTTGGCTGCCAGCCATTGATCCAACATGGAGTGTTCCCATCTTGGCTTTTCCTGTGTTTTGGAAGTTTCAATGCGCCTTTGAGTGATATCATGCACTTCCTAGATGAGGCTCAGAGCTGCTAGTCATAAAAATTGAAAGAGGCACTTACAGTAGTCCACATGCCCATGCCTGTTGAATCGTCGCGGCCGCTAACAAATAAACGACGACCCAAAGAAGTATGGGCCGCTAGCCAAGCGATGGGGCGATATCGACTAAGCGTCCATTGCCGGAAGATACGATAACTGCTTTTCAACATATTTCGCACATCGGACTTGTGGTCTAAGAAGCCGAAGCTCTCCCCCACACTCATTGGCACGTAGACATCAAATGAAAAATATCTGAGCCTAGTCAGTCCTCGGTTCAAGATTTCCTGTTCGATACAGGACCACTTACTTGACCCAGGCGCCCCAGTCTATGGAGGGGTTTGTGTGGGTTTCCTCATTGAGAATAGAAACCCACTTGATAAGAGTTTCATCTACAAGACCCTCAAATAATTGCACCCGCGATACCGAAAACTGTTCTAATCAATTACTAGCCCCGAGGAGCAATATGTAAAATGTGACCTACTGCTTGTCCAAACTGCCGTTTGGCCGCGGCATACTCCAGATAGCTGGCCTTGTTGGTGGCCGCGCCCGGACAGGTAAAGTCTTTGGGATAGTCTGTCTTGTCGCTCTGGCGATGATATACCACTGGGATCAAATCCAAATCATTGAATGTCAAGTGGTTGGGACCGCAGCGAACGACCGGCCCTGTTTATCAATTAGACCAACGACCAACGACCAACGAAAGTCAGATCGATTGTAAACGTATTACAGACCGTATTTGCGATGTAAATCTTGGTACCAAGTCTTTTCTTGCCCGCTCCACACGGCGTAAAAATGCTGGAAGCTAGAGGCAGCGACCAGCTTCGGCCCAGGAAATCCTGATAGTGGATGGAAGTACACTCGTCGCACTAGGAAGAGAATGGCCCCAGCCAAGAATAATAGCCCGATCCTGGAGCAAAATTCCAGCCAGTCCATATCGTAGATGGAGTGGAACCAAAGATCAACTGCTAAGGTCAGGCGAATATAGATAAAGTAGGACTGGCTGAACCCCCATGGTTAAACTACTTCCGTCCATGCGGATTGTGATCTCTATGATCTGTGTGATTTTGTGAGCTGAATTCTCTGACTTCTCTTGAATTGCATGCATTCCCTGCATTCCCTGCATGCACATGGACCCCCTTGCATAATAGCGGGGGCGTGGAGGAGAAGAAGGAGGGGTTGGTGTAGCCAAGGAAACGCGGCCCGGAGCCCGTCGGTCGGATAAGCCGCCAAGAATCCTGCAGGTAAACTAGCTTCGTCAGCTCAAACGCCATTGTCTGTGATGACACTGCATCGCTACAACGCAACTATCGCGCCATTTGATTTAGATTGGTCTTACTTGTACGTAGCTGAGATCGGTATTGATATATCAAATTAAGTACTCCGCACAAATGTGAGATATCACACTACCCATGTTGTAAGATGAGAGCTGAGAAGGCGTGCGCATGCAGCTGAACTATCAGGCGTACGTGCCCTCGATGCGCATGTGCTGGAACTCATTGGCCGTCAGGAAATTTTGCACTGGCTTGTCGTCGTCCACTAACGAATCCAGTAGTGGACGAAGAAGCGCTGCACGATCAGGTTTTGCGAAATACGCAATCGAGTAGCGTTCTGGGACCATATTACCCTGGTTTTCACTTTTTGCCAGATGTACCCGGTGTCGGGCACTATGCAGCCCTGTCCACATCTGGAGACAATCACCTACATTGACAATACACTCATGGGGGCCAGCACTGTCAGCCGGAACAAACACTCCGCTACCAGGGGGCTGTTCCATCTCTGTAACTCTATCAGCTTAATTCTAGTATAGAAAAGATGACACCTTCCAAATTTGGAAAGTGGTATTGCTTACCCAGGCCTCCAACATTGTCTTGGAACAATAGAGTGATAGTGCCAAAATCCGTGTGCGCCGCAATGCGGGTGGCATTGGCAAAGTCAGCCTGATCCACTTCTGGATAGTGCGTGAGCCGCAGTTCGTTGGTCTGTGCGGTGTGCAATTCACGCAGAGAGTGAACGGGCAATCCTAAGCCAATCGAAATAGCATCCAGAATGGTCAACTGGGCATCATGACAGACAGTGAAGAATGAGCTGAGTGTCGTTTGAAAGCCATCGTGAACTCCTGCTGGGGGCCAGATATTGGAGTACAGCGGATCTTGTTCCGATCCAATGTCATAAGACTCCTGATCAATTGGTCAAATATGTAAAACGAAAAAACAATCTTGACAAAGGTATATATACGATCTTGGTACCTTCATATCCCTGAGTAAGGGTTGCGTGGCCGAGGAGCGATAGTTAGACACAGTTGATATGTTCTCCAGGCCAACGGGACTAAAGCCCCGATGGGGATGAGCCGTGGGAGGATGGGGTGACTTCAGTTTCTGCTCCATTGGGAGATCGAAAAATTTGTGACTCTGGATGCACAATGAGTAAGAGGACCTTCAGACAGGCATTGAGGGAAATCTCGCACCATTTCAAATGCCCGGTCAATGCTCTCTGGAGGGACGCCATGATTGACTAGCCGTACCCAGCCTGACTTGCTCAACCCGGAAATCAACTCACGGCAGAACTGATCTCGCTCGTCGGTGCTCCCACGGTGAAATCTCGAAAAGTCAAGTTGCTTAAGCATGACTGATAGAGATGTCGTGAGGAATATGGTGAAAGTTGTCAGATGCGTGAACACTCGAACTCAAGGCTAGATTTGCTAGTAGATGTTAAAAGTTAGGAAACGCCTTTTCAAGGTGATTGCAGATTGATAGTCCCCCGAAAAAAACGTGGAAGTAATGGTGATCATATGTTGTGACACACCAGGTCGGTACAACATGCTGTTCGTTATGTAAATCACATTGCATTCCAAGGTCTGCGCTGAAGTGGACCCTGGGGGCCTCGGGACCCTTCCGATCAATAACAGGTCTAGCTACACCATATAACACAACGTGCTCTGTAATACAACAGCGGTGAAACCAGTCATTTCTGACCGCATGGCTCTAACCCGATCTTGCATATGCATACATTGCCGAGTGCGCACTATCGAATGAATATCCACAAAGTGGAGACGATTCTTGGCCCGTTCAATGCTCCATCCCTGATACCGAGAGACCGGTGTTGTCAGAATTGAGATTAAGAGTCCATGACAACCTTTCCTTGCAGTTGTGCAACTACAAACTTCAAAGCATCTTAATAATCCATCAAAATGTTTGCGAAAAAGACGAACGGGGGCGCTCCGCTATCAGCCCCGGATGCGCCTGATGCGGAATCACCTTCATCGCAAGAACTTGATGACATCTGGGATAGCAACGCTGTAGTGCCAGAGACTGTCACAGGATGCGTTCATGATTTGGTTTCTGAGGTAGCGCAAAGACAACCAGATGCCCTCGCGGTTTGCGCGTGGGATGGAGATTTTACCTATGCTCAACTATCCGCCTTGAGCGATCATGTTGCTCATCATCTCTGTGAAATGGGCATTCCCCAGAAGTCCCCAGTCGCCCTTCTTTTCCCTAAGTCACGATGGACATGTGTTGCCATGTTAGGTATCATCAAAGCCGGATGCGCGGCGATTGCTCTTGATTCCACCCATCCAGATGCGAGACTTCGATCTATTATTAGGCATGCGCAGCCAAAGGTTATGATCTGCTGTGCAGCTACTCGAAACAGAGTATCTCTCTTGGGAGATTCACCTATCCTTCAGCTCGACAATAGTTTGTTGGAGACTGCAGGTACCGTAAAACAGCACACGGTCGATTTACCTGTGGTATCATCGAAAGACATAGTCTATATATCTTTTACCTCGTAAGAGATCCATGACATAATTCTCTAGGGGAGTAAGAGTGCTGACTTTGATGCTTCAAAACCAGCGGAACTACCGGCGAGCCCAAAGGAGCGTGTATTTCCCATGCCAACGTGAGAAGTGCGGTAAATCACCAGGGGAAAGCTCTTGGCTTCCATCGAGAGTCGCGCGTCTTCGACTTTGCACCCTACTCCTTTGATGTGGCCTGGAGTAATGTTCTTCACACGCTGTGCGCAGGCGGTTGTCTGTGCGTTGCCAACGAGCAAGATATGGTGAATAACTTATCAGCTGCTATCATGGCTTTTGCGGCTACTCTGATCAACGTCACTCCCACTGTTCTGCGAACAATTAGTTCGGTCCCACCAACACTTCAAACTGTACTTTTGAGTGGAGAGATGCCATATCGAGAGAATGTGACTCAATGGGCTGGCCGTGTTCGCCTACTCAATACATATGGTCCCACTGAGTGTACCTGGAAATGTACCTTCTCACACCTCAATCGCTGCGAGGAAGGCCGGCCGGATATTGGGAGAGGAATAGGATTCTGCCTCTGGATTGTCAACCCCAACGATAGCAGCCAGCTTGTTCCCCCTGGCACTCCGGGAGAACTGTACCTCGAGGGACCCATGGTTGGCCAGGGGTACTTGTTCAATCAAGAAAAGACTAGCGAAGCTTTCATTGACAATCCACCATGGCTTTTATCTGGCAGCTCTGCTGTTCCGGGACGGCAAGGCCGTCTTTACAGGACCGGGGACTTAGTTAAGACCCGCTCGGATGGAAGCATCCTGTTCCTAGGGCGGAAAGATGTCTCTCAATTGAAGATCAGAGGTCAACGGATTGAAATTGGCGATGTCGAGCACCATGCGCGTGCTTGTTTGAATGATACACTGACGATCATTGCGGACATCGTGCTCCCGAAGGGAACCGATACTGCATTGCTTGCGCTCTTTGTGCAAACTAGGAGTGAGAACTCCGAGACTGTCAAGACTGTGATGAATAATCTTGTGTGCGATTTAGACGGTGTGTTGCCAGCATTTATGCTTCCCGGAATCTATATTCCCGTCGAAGAGATACCGGTGGCTGCCACGGGCAAAGTCGACCGGCGAAAACTGCGAGATCTTGGAGATAGCTTGTCCTTGGAGCAGCTTCTTCAATTACAGTCAACTATTCTGCCAGTTCAAGAACACCGTGACCCATCAACCGTCATGGAGGAGCAGCTCCGTGGACTCTGGGCGCACGTATTAAACATACCATCGACTGGAATTAGTGTCACAGATAGTTTCCTCCGTCTAGGAGGGGATTCTATTGCAGCCATGCTGTTGGTCGCGGCAGCACGGAATGCAAGTTTATCCATCACTGTGGCAGATGTGTTCAAGAGTCCAGTGTTGAGTGATCTTGCGCTCATTATGAAGGAAGATTCTTTCTCCTCTGAAACGGAAGGAATTATCCCATTCTCCCTAATGGACTGTCCTGCCAATACCCAAGAAATGCGCGAGGAGGCTGCTAGACTATGTAATGTCGAATTAGCTCAAGTGGAAGATGTATATCCGTGCACCGCGCTCCAACAGGGCATGCTCTCTATCACAGCGCGAGGTGAGACCAATAACGTTGCACGGACACTGTTCGAACTTCCTAGTCACACAGATATCTCCCGGTTCGAAAAGGCATGGCTAAGCACCGTTCGCCAAGCATCGATCTTGCGAACACGGGTCATCGACCTAACCAGCAATGATCTTGTTCAAGTTGTTGTCGAATCTCCCATCATGCTGGGCCGATATGATAATATCAACGACTTTATCGAAGATCCCATTCCAATGGGATTGGGCGTCCCTCTGTGTCGCGCTGGCCTGGTTTCTGGAAACTCTCCCAGTCTGATTGTTGAAATGCACCATTCAATATTCGATGGCTGGTCTACTAAGCTGATATTGGATGCCATTGAAGCTGAATACCATGGGAAGATGGCCCCTGCATCTATCCTGCCCTTCCAGTCATTTGTCAAACATACAAAAGGGATGAATAAGGAAACATCCTTGCTCTATTGGAAGACCTACCTGGACGGAGGGTCTGAAACGAAGACTTTCCCGTCTCCGGGGTATCGACCAGGGGAAAAGCTTGACTTTAACCACAACGTCTCTGAGATGCCGTGGGCACATTCTGGAACCACACCTTCATCGGTGGTTAGAGCAGCATTGGCCCTGTTACTGGCCTCATACACCAATTCCAACGATGTTAGGTATGGCGCCACGATCAGTGGACGACAGGCTTCTGTGGCTGGGATAGAACGAGTTGCAGGTCCGACAATCGCAACTGTGCCAGTCCGCGCTAAATTTGACTGGAATCAAACAGTCGAGAGCTGGCTTGAACAGGTCCAAAGACAGGCAGTGGAGGCGACTGAGCACGAACAGCTGGGGCTGCAGCACATTGCTGGACTGGTTGAAGATGCCAACCTTTTCCAGCTGCTCCTGGTAGTCCAGCCGGCTCAGCAGGCAAACACTCACGACGTGGAAGGTCTTTTCAGCCGTGTGAGCAGTGTTGTTAGCAGTTCTGATCAACCCGGCAGTTTGAAAGTCGTTTGCAAGGATGGAGAAGCCGACACTGTGGGCATGTACAACCCATATGCGATGATGATTATCTGCCAATTGCACGAGTCTGGAGTTGAACTGAAGATCAACTTTGATTCTGGTGCCATCGCAGTCAAACAAGTCCAAAGAATGTCAATACAATTTGAACATTTGCTGCGACAGCTATGTTCAGAGGAGTGTACTCAGATGAACCTACGCGATATAACTGTTGCTACCAAGGACGACTTGGCTGATATTTGGTCATGGAACGCAGCGCGAATTGAGCCCAAATTTCAATCGATCACTGATGGTATTTATCGGCAAAGCGAGTCGAAGCCAGAAGCAGTTTTGATATCTGCGTGGGACCAGCAGTTCACAGCCCAACAGGTGCAGGCCTGGTCTGGAACGCTTGCTGGTCGACTTCTCCACAAAGGTGTACTTCCTGGCTCGATTGTTATCCTGGCCTTTGAGAAAAGCGCTTGGCAGGCAGTGATGATGCTTGCAGCCCTCCAAATCGGTGCAATTGTTCTGCCGATGTCTGTACCAGTTTCCAAAACTCGCGCCCTGCAAGTCGTTGAGAGCTTGCAGCCCCATATTGTTGTTACCTCCACGTCATCTGATTTGTCTCCATTTCACACGTTGACCCCAGTGCTCAGTATCACTGACCTCACCATGCCGGAAAGAAAAGGGTCCGATGTTATTCAATCACCGCCATATTGCCATCTGCCCAGTGACCCTGCTCTTATTCTGTTTACCTCTGGATCTACAGGGACACCAAAGGCTATTGTGTGGAGTCACAGCGCCTTATCAACCAACATTCAAGCCGCAATCATGGCATTTGGACTAACCGATACCAGCCGAGTCCTCCAGTTTGCCGGTTATGATTTTGATGTGAGTACAGTGGAGACTTTGTCTACCTTGATTGCTGGAGGTTGCTTGTGCATCCCATCGGAGACAGACCGAAGGAATCGGCTGACCGACGCAATAAATGGCTACAACGCCAATTGGATGTGCCTCACCCCGTCTGTGTCAGAGACCATGAACCCGGGCAATTTGTCATCTATGCAAACAGTGGTATTTGCGGGCGAAAAGCTCGAGCACAAAACTGCTCTTCGCTGGCTTGACAAACACAAGATTGTACATAACTGGTACGGGCCAGCGGAAGCCTCGGTCGCCACTTCGTGCCTTGTAAGTCCCGACAGCTGGCGTCCAGGTATGATTGGGCAAGGTCGTGCCGGGCTAGCATGGCTTGTCGACCCGAAAAACCCGAACTTACTGGCTCCAGTGGGAGCAGTGGCTGAGTTGTGTATGGAGGGCTCTATGCTAGCTCGGTATGCTGGAGCCAATGGCGCTGTGTTGAACAACGAGAGTTTTATTTCCCCATCGTGGCTGCAAGATGGCCACTGGAAGACCCCTGGTCGACCAGGTCCAGTCTATCGTACCGGGGATCTAGTTACCTACGACTCGGATGGCCGTATCATCTACCTTGGGCGTCTCCAAGACTCTCAGCGAAAGATCCGAGGTCAGCGCATTGACTTGGGTGAAATAGAGCGGTGTATTCAAGACTTCTTGACTGGTCTAATGGACACAATGCTTGTCGCAGAGATATTTTCTCCTGCCGGCGGTGACAACGATACTTTGGCCCTCTTCATCAGTCCCACTGATGCCGTTCGCCGCGCAGACCCTCAAGCATACCTTCAAAGTGCATGGCCAGTTGATGCTTTAGAGAATCACCTTGCCAGCATTCTCCCATCGTATATGATTCCCAGGGTGTACATACCGCTTAGTGAACTTCCTATCGGTCCGACTGGAAAGACAGACAGGCGACGATTACGAGAGATTGGAGGTTCCCTCACATTGGCACAATTGGCAAACATGCAACCGACCCGAAAACAAGCCAGAAAGGTGAACACAGATAATGAGGAACTATTGCAGCAAATGTGGGCTCATGTGCTGGGGGTTGAGCCGGATGTCATCTATGCGACCGACCACTTCCTTCGCTTGGGAGGAGACTCGATCAGCGCCATGCGGCTCGTTGGAATGGCCCGCACCCAGGGCTACTCCCTCACTGTTGCCGATGTGTTCGATTTTCCCGAACTAGAGATGATGGTCGAGAAAATGGTCCACGGTGAGGATCATGCGGACATGCAAGATGTTCCAGCATTCTCCCTTCTACCCCTGGGGGTAGACGAGTCATACTGTCGATCATATGTTGCCCAAATTTGCTCAGTCTCCCAAGATCAAGTTCTCGATGTCTACCCCTGTACAGCACTTCAGGAGGGATTGCTGGCGCTGGGAGCCAGAAGACAAGGACAATACGTATCTCGTAGTGTGTTGCCACTTCAAGACGACATTGATCCAGACCGACTCAAAAGTGCCTGGAAAAAGACAATCGCCAAACTGTCCATTATGCGAACCCGAATCGTGGATCTCCCCGGCAAAGGGCTTGTGCAGGTTGTCCTCAATGACACACCCTGGAGATCTGGCCAAAATATCCAGCAGTACTTGCACAACGATGAAACAGAGCCGATGGCACTAGGGACCCAGCTCTGCCGTGCAGCCATCATCGATCGCACGTTTATCTTCACCATTCATCACTGCTTGTACGATGGCAGCTCACTGCCCATGGTGCTCCAAGAACTCCAGGCCCAGTATTACGACCAACCAGGAAGGACTGTCACTGGAGTAGAGCATTTTATTCGCCATTTGAGTCAGATCAATCCTCAGGAATCAGACGATTTCTGGAAGGCGCAGCTGTCTCGTGCTGAGTTCCGTTCATTCCCCATCCTGCCATCCAGCACGTACGAGCCGCAAGCCAGTGACTTCATGGAGCATCCGATTGCCCTGGACTGGCCTTCCAAGGGAGCGACCCCATCCACAATCCTTCGTGCAGCGTGGGCAGTCCTCGCATCACAGTATGTGGCCTCCAGTGATGTCATCTTCGGAGTGACAGTAAGTGGACGACAGGCAAATATAAACGGCATGGAGAACTGCGTAGCACCAACTATTGCAACGGTTCCAATTGCTGTATCAATTGATTGGGAGAATACGGTCGAGACATTCCTTCAAGGCCTCCAAAGACAGGGCCTGGACATCATGTCCTATGAGCAATACGGCTTGCCAAACATTCAGCGAGCTAACGGAGACCGCAATGCCGGGTTGTTCCAGACTTTGCTGGTGATCCAGCCAATAGCCACGGGGAACAGTTTACATGAAGACAGCCGATTGTTCAAGGCACGCAGCTTTGCGTCCAATTTGAGCACTTTGGGGATCGATCCTTTCAATGTATATGGCTTGATGGTCATCTGTCAACTTACTTCCTCGGGGCTTAACCTTCAAATGAGCTTTGACCCAAAGATCACCGACAAGCGGCAGATTAAACAAATTGTTTATCAGCTGGAGACAGTCATTCGCCAATTGTGTACAAAGTCCCCCGACAGGACGACACTAAAATCCATTCAGACAACAAGTGAGCTCGATCTGGAGCGCTTCTGGGCGCAGAACGCAGACCTACCCTCAGACCCCACAACGTTTGTACATGACAAAATTAGTCTGTGTGCCAAAGCGGACCCCGAGGCTATCGCAGTTGATGCATGGGACGGCCAGTTTACATACGGCGAGCTGGATCAGGTTTCTACCGTTGTTGCGCGCAAGTTGATCTTGCATCTGGGAGTGAAGAAAGGGTCCGTTGTGCCCTTATGCTTTGTCAAGTCTCGATACATGCCACTAGCTCAGGTTGCAGTCTGGAAAGCTGGTGCAGTGACCCTGCTACAATCAGCAGACATGCCAGAGCAGAGAATGAATCGTACTTTCCAGCACCTTCGGGTAGAAGTTGCCCTGGCTTCACCCGAGCGCTTGACGACGGTCTCGAAGTACGCTCGCTGTATTACCATGGAGCAAATATTGGACACTCCATTGGAAGAAATTATCACGCCACTACCATTGCTCGAGATGGATAGCCCGGCCTCAATTCTGGTGTCCTCCGGTAGCACGGGTGAACCAAAACATGTTCTTTGGAGTCACAGAGCTCTGGCTGCAAACGCAGAGGAACCGACCCTGCGTTTGTTGGTAACCCCCTCTTCACGCATCTTCCAATTTTCATCGTACGATTTCGATGTCGCCACCCTGGAAACAATCATTGGGCTGACTCACACTGCTTGTCTTTGTATTCCATCAGAAGCTCAACGTCTCGATGGCATTGCGGCTGCAATCAATCACTTCGGTGCGAATTGGGCCTTTATCACCCCGTCCACCGCCCGGTTGCTGCATCCTCAAGACGTACCAGGGCTGTCCACTATCGTGATGGGAGGTGAAAATGTGTTGCAGAGTGATGTCGAAAGGTGGAAAGGGTACTGTTCTGTCCGCAATTGGTACGGGCCTGCAGAATTCCCTGCAGTTACTGTCTACCCGGCCGATGAGCCCAATTGGTCCAGCGGTGTGATTGCACGCATTGACTCGTGCCGCTGCTGGCTTGTAGATCCTCAAAACCGCCACAGACTCGTTCCATTTGGTGCGATCGGTGAGATCGTGGTACAGGGACCTGCACGCGCGAGTGGCTATGTCGGAAATGCTTCTCTCACAGAAAAGCACTTCTACCAAAATCCCACATTCCTGTCTCGAGGTTTCGGAAGTGCTCACCCAGGCAGGCAGGGCTGTGTCTATCGAACAGGTGATTTGGCCCGATACGATTCCGACGGCTATCTGGTGTTCTTGGGGCGGAAGGATTCTCAACTCAAGGTGCTTGGTCAACTAGTGGTGCCCAAGGAGGTCGAGACCCAGATTCAAAAATGCCTCGATCGGCCAGGCAAGCTCACTGAGGTCATAGTCGATGCCATCTCGCCCCCAAGTGGAGGCGGAGTGATGCTCGTTGGGTTCATCGTCACACAGGAGGATATCAACCAATTAACGAGTGGACTCAGCCAGAAGCTTCAGGCGGTTCTTCCTCGCTATGCAGTCCCCTCGTGGTATATTGCACTTCAAAGCGTTCCTTTGACTACTAACGGGAAACGAGATCGAAGGCGGCTCCTCGAGATTGCTGCGTCGTCCACTCCATCCAGCCAAAGATCCACGGGGCGGCTCCCAGTCTCGACCGCTGAGATCACTTTAGCGAAGCTGTGGTCTCTTACTCTAGGGACAGAGCCGGAGACAATCTCGGCCACCGACAGTTTTCTGCAGGTTGGAAACTCTATTGATGCCATGCGGTTAGTAGGTACCGCTCGCCAACACGGCCTGTTGCTCACTGTCGCCGGAGTGATGGAATTTCCAATCTTAGAAGAGATGGCCACCCTGCTGAAAAACCTCGAGGATGCACCAGATGAGAACATTGAGCCATTTACGCTGTTAGATTCTGGCCGAGACAAGAAGCTTGCCCGTCAGCAAGCAGCATTCGCTTGTGCTGTCGATGAGGCCGACATTGAAGATTTATTTCCTTGCACTTCTCTCCAGACAGGTTTGCTAGCTTTAACAATCAAGTCCCGCGGGGATTACACTGGTCGCAATGTGCAGGAGCTAGGTCCTTCGATAGATGCCCACCGCTTCAAGCACGCGTGGGAAGAGCTGGTCCGCATTGTGCCTATCCTCCGCACACGCATTGTCGATATTCCTGGGCAGGGATTTGCTCAAGTCGTGATCCGAGAGAAAACTGCTTGGAGCAAGGCCGAAAGCGTGGAAGAATACATGAGCCAGGATCGCCAGTCTCCCATGGGGTTGGGAACACCTCTCATGCGTTGTGGATTGTTTTCATGCAAGTCAACCAATGAAACATCTGGTGCTTCCGGTCCAGTGCGCTGGTCCTTTGCATTAACTATGCATCATTCGATATATGATGGGCCGGCTTCAGCTATGATAATGGGCACGCTGAAGAGTCTTTACGATGGGGAAACACCGCTTCGACTGTGTCCCTTCCAGTCTTTCGTCAAGTACATCTCCAGTCGGAATAAAGACGCCGGAGTCAAATTTTGGAAAACACAATTTGAAGGCTGTGAAGCTTCGCAATTTCCACTACTCCCTTCGGCTAGTTATCAGCCAAGAACGAATTCCACCAGAACTGTTCTAATCGACGATATTAAATGGCGAACTGATGGGTTCACTCCTTCAACCATCATCCGCGCAGCATTCAGCCTCGTGTGCGGTCAATATGCAATCTCGTCCGACGTGGTGTTTGGCACAGTTGTCATGGGCCGCAAAGCTCCCATTCAAGGCACGGAGAGGATCGCAGGTCCAACCATTGCCACAGTTCCTGTGCGTGTGCAGATCAAAAGTGATGCCACTATTCTACAATTTCTCCAATCTATCCAGGACCAAGAGCGAGAGATGGTCCCTCATGAGCAAACAGGATTGTCAAACATCCGGCAAATTAGCACTCTGGCAGAAGAGGCATGTCGCTTCCAGACCTTGCTCGTGATCCAACCACCTGAGCAGGCTATGGATGATACTGGCTTATTTATCCCTCGGTCTGCTGAACAGGATGAGGCCACCCGATACCATAGCTTCAGCTCTTATGCGTTATCGGTAGTGTGCAACCTCGAGACAGGTCGGTTGAGGGTCGAATTTTGCTATGACTCTGCCATTATCCAGTCAGAAACCATTCAAACCATGGCAGCCCACCTGGATCAGGCCCTTCGGAGCATGTGCACACATAAATTGCCCCACACAACGCTAGGCGATGTCAACATGATGACACAGTCTCATCTCAATGATATCTGGACCTGGAACTCAAAGTTGCCTGCCGCTATAGATCGATGCATGCATGATCTAATTAAAGAAGTTGTACAACGCCAGCCAGACATAGTGGCTATCTCTGCGTGGGATGGTAGTTTAACATATGCTGAGTTAGACCGGCTGTCAACCAGGCTTGCAGGTCACCTAGTGCGGATGGGGGTGAAAAAGAACATGATTGTGCCGCTCTGCTTTGAAAAAAGCTTGTACGCCATGCTCGCCGTCCTCGCCGTTATAAAAGCCGGTGGTGCCACTCTTCTCTTGGATCCATCACTGCCAGACTCTCGTCTTGATGGTATATTACAACAGGTAAACCCCACTGTGTTATTATCATCAATCTCTCAAGAACAGCGCTGTTCACGATGGGTGGCTCATCCAGTGGTCTTGGGCAAGGGATCCACCTTATTTGAGACTAATGCGACAAATGGGACCACCGAAAGTCATGACCTACCGTCTGTATCTTCAGATGACCTTTTGTACACCGTCTTTACAAGTGGCAGCACCGGAACCCCCAAAGGGTGTCTCATGCATCACCAACAATTCACCAGTGCAGTAGTCCACCAGCAAGCCACGCTTGAAATGAACTCAACTACACGTCTCTACGATTTTTCATCCTACTCCTTTGATGCTGTCTACTGGTGCCTCTTTCACGTATGGAACGCCGGAGGCACGTTATGTATCCCCAGCGAGGAAGAACGGAAAAGCGATCTGACCGAGAGCGTGCGCCGGTTTGAGACCACGCACATTTTTTTAACCCCCTCCACTGCGCGGTGGATAGACCCGCAGCGTACTCCTACCCTGCGGTATCTCTTTCTTGGGGGTGAGGCGGTCTTGCCAGAGGATCTCGCTCGATGGTCCCCACATGTCAACACATTTGAGGTATATGGACCCTCGGAATGTTCCGCTATTACGCTCTATCATCGAGTTCCTAAGACTAAATCTGCCGCCGTGCACTCTATCGGGAAGGGTATTGGCGTTCTGACCTGGGTGGTGGACCCCGGGGACCAGGACCGACTGGCACCTCTTGGAACGGTAGGTGAGCTATATCTCGAGGGACCCCTAGTGGGACAAGGTTACTTCCAGAATGAAGAGAAAACAGCAGCTGCCTTCATTGAGAATCCACACTGGTTAGGTCAGGGCTCCCCTGATGGAACAGTGCCGGGACGGCGTGGCCGGATGTATAAGACTGGTGACCTTGTCAAATATCATCCACTCACTGGAAATCTCGCGTTCGTGGGCCGAAAGGATACACAGGTCAAACTGCGAGGCCAACGCATCGAGCTTGCAGATGTTGAGCATCATGTCATGCATTGCTTAATGGATCGATCTTCGTCAAAAGCTGCGCCGACAGCAATTGCAGAGGTTATAGAGCCAATAGCCACAGGTCGGCCAATGCTTGCCGTTTTTATCGACTGCGAGCAAGCACAGTTGGCCGACTTATTGCCTTATCTCGAAGCTGAGTTGCCGAGTCGGGTTCCATCCTACATGGTGCCCGCAACATACATCGCGGTTCCCTCTATGCCCATGGCGGCGAGTGGCAAGACAGATCGACGACGGTTGCGCGAGATAGGTTCCAATTTGACTCTGGAACACTTGGCACCCAGAGACGCCGCAACCACGTTGCCTCCCAGCACAGCCTCTGAGTGCCACCTACAAAGTTTGTGGGTTGAAGTCCTCGGTGTACCCGCCGAGAAGATTGGGGCTGAAAGCAGCTTCGTTCGTCTGGGCGGCGACTCCATTTCGGCGATGCGATTAGCCGCGTTGGCTCGTATGCAAGGACTAGGCTTGTCGGTTCACAATATTCTCACAACGCCTCGATTGTCGGAGATGGCACAGACAATGTCTGCCTTGACTTCAAAAGACATCAAGGAGATGGAAGCGATCAAGCCTTTCTCTCTCTTGAAGCACCCCTCAGAACAAAATGTTATCTTGCATGACTTCGCAAGCCAGTGCCACATCCACGTCAGCCAAATTGAAGACATATTCCCATGCACGGGTGTCCAAAAGTCGCTGCTCTCCATGACCGCCAAACGCGCCAACTCCTATGTCGCTCGACTCTTGCTCAAACTGAGGAAGAATGTCGATGAGTCACGGCTCGTGAATGCGTGGGAAATGGTGAGCAGAGCTTCTGCCCCCATTCTTCGATCACGAATTGTGGACTGTCCAATGGAGGGGCTCATACAAGGTACCGTGGATGAGCCGCTACACTGGGATGTCACTCAACCACTGCAGCATTATCTTCAAGAATATCAAACCAGACCCATGGGTCTGGCTACCCCGTTGACTCGCCTAGCCATTGTGGAAGATGAACACAGCCAGGAGCGTTATTGTCTGCTCACTCAGCATCATGCGATATATGATGGCTATTCATTGAACCTTCTCGTGGACGAGGTGTCCAAGGCTTATGACGGCGTCCTTGATGAGCATGCCCCAGTAGCATCATTCCAAGCTTTTATCAAGCATGTCATGGCGGTGGATTCTGAGAAAGCAAAGGAGTTCTGGGGTCATGAATTTGCAGATTTTGAGGCAATCCCCTTTCCAGCATTGCCTCATGCGGATCATCAACCCAAAGCAGATAGCACAGTACGACGCAATTTGGAGGCATTCCAGTGGCCACAGCGAGATTGCACTCCGTCAACTAGTATGTCTCTTTTAATTTCTTTCATTGCCCTACTATTTTCCCTGGGAGTTGCTGACATCTTTATCATCAGTCATTCGTGCATCGTGGGCCATCCTTACTGCGCGGTACATGGACTCGGACGATGTAGTTTTCGGCGCCATGGTCACGGGCCGGCAAGCTCCTCTTCAAGGTCTGGACCGCATGGTGGCACCTCTTATAAATGCTGTGCCTGTCCGAGTCAAACTTGACTTCCAAGAATCGGTTGATAGTCTGCTCACTAAAATCCAGAAGCAGTCCATCGACATGATTGCCTACGAACAGACTGAGCTGCTCACAATTCGACGCATTGATACAAACACCGATCGCGGAAGCCGATTCAATACTCTTCTCGTTGTTCAGCCTGCAAGTCAAGGCTCGTCTGACGATCATCCTAATGGCCCCTACGAGCATCCCAGAAAGCTAGTCTCCGCCACTCAGGATCTAGATGACTCCAATCCAAATGCTATCATGATCATGTGCCAGCTCACGAACACGAATGGTCTACAGCTTGAGTTCAGCTTTGATTCCAGTGTGGTGGATGCAGCGCAGATGGAACGAATTGCCTCTCAATTTGAACACGTCTTGCGTCAAGTGTGTATGGCAACGACACAGCCTGTCGATCACATTCAAACCCTCAGTGGTGCCGATATTGCAGAGCTATGGGAATGGAACTCGTCTGTTCCCCAGGCAATCTCTGAATGTGTGCACGGCCTAATTACTGCAACTGCGCAGAAATATGGAGGGCAGCCAGCAATCTGCGCCTGGAACGGCAATTTAACTTATTTTGAGTTGGACCAACTTTCCGATCGCTTGGCCTCACACTTGATCGCCTTTGGTGTTGGCCCCGGTACCGTCGTTCCACTTTGCTTTGAGAAGTCTATGTGGCATCCAGTGGCAGCTCTTGGTGTGATGAAATCGGGTGCTGCCTGTCTCTCAATGGACTCGACTCAACCAGAATCCAGACTGCAGTCTATTGTGAGACAAGTCAACCCCCGGGTTGTTCTAGCATCGGCCAAAACTGCTGGACTAGCTGGTCAATTATCTGATGCTGAGGTCATGATTATTGACCAAGATTACCTAGACTTAGTGGCCAAAGATATTCTCACCCAGCCTTTGCCCACAGTTCACCCATCTAATGTGTTATACGGTGCGTCGAAATTGGCTTTCTTTTCGTTTCTCAAATAACTGTACTAACCTTTCCAATATTAGTGGTATTCACCAGCGGCTCCACGGGAACACCTAAAGGCGTCGTGACTACACATCAAAATTTTGCATCTGCTGCAGTGCATCAGGCAGAGATGCTGCGTATTCAGCCAGGCACACGCATATTTGACTTTGTCTCTTATAGCTTTGATGTCTCATGGTCCAACACACTTCAGACATTGATCCGCGGAGGCTGTCTTTGTATTCCTGACGAGTTGGAACGTCGAAACGACATCGCGGGGGCCTTCAATCGCATGAATTGCAACTATTCGTACTTCACACCCTCCGTGGTACAATCTTTGGACCCATTAAGCATACCTGCACTCAAAACCTTGGCTATGGGAGGAGAACCCATTCCCACCACCGAGGTTGCTCGTTGGAAGCAGGCTGAGGCCGTCATCGGCATCTACGGTCCGGCTGAGTGTGCACAGGCCCTCACATTCACTCTTCTCCGGCCAAATGGACGTAACAACCATGTAGGGTACTCATACGGAGCCCGGACATGGCTAGTGCAACCGGACCGTCCCGATCGTCTGGCTGCAATTGGCGCTGTGGGAGAGCTTCTCATTGAGGGTCCCACAGTCAGTCGCGGGTATTTTGATGACTCTGACAAGACTGCTGCTGCGTATATCCAAAATCCATCATGGTTGTTGGAAGGCGCACCAAGCATTCTGGGCCGTCAGGCCACCCTATACAAGACGGGTGACCTACTTCGATACAACTCAGATGGGTCGCTGGATTTCCTCGGTCGTAAGGATGGTATGGTCAAGCTGCGAGGCCAGCGAATTGAGCTGGCTGAAGTAGAATACCATATCCGTGCTAACCTCCGCCATCCTGATCTATGTGATGGCCTTGCAGCAGAGATTATTACTCCCAACAACAGCAGTCCCATTCTCGCCGTCTTTTTTGCCCTGTCCTCCCATGGAGAGGCGCGGTCCGAGGAAGACACTTTATCGAAACTGGCGCACTTGATCGACGGTTTGGAGGATAGGCTCTCCAATTGTGTACCGCAATAGTATGTATTCCCTCACTCAACTCTACTTTCCAGCTCTCAACATATGCGAGTGGTGTTAACAATATTTTGTTCCTAGCATGATTCCTGGTGCCTACATCCCCATCGAAAAGATTCCAATGACTACCACGGACAAAACAGATAGAAGAACTCTACGGCAGTTGGGAGCTGTTCAAACTTTGGAGAAGCTGGCAAAACTACAATCCCACGGGAAGACTCATCGCGCACCTACCACAGCCATGGAACAGAAATTGCAAGTACTATGGTCGGTGGTTCTTGGAATGGATGCAAACATCATCAATGCCGACAGCAACTTCCTCAGAATTGGTGGAGAGTCCATCGCAGCCATGCGACTGGTGGCCGCGGCACGAAATTCGAAGCTCTCGCTCACAGTCGCGGATATTTTCAACGCGCCACGGCTCTCTCAACTCGCCCTTTTAGTGAAGGAAGCCGCGGAGGAGGAGTCTCTGCCACTGTTGCGTCCCTTCACTTTGCTCCAGGCCGATGATCCAAAGTCCTTCCTCACTCAGTTTGTCGATCCTCTCCTCGACCCAGGGGCTGGGACTGTTATTGATGTACTTCCTTGCACCGACTTCCAAACTTGTGCAATTTTAGATGCTTTCCAAGACCCGCCCAGCCGATTGCCTCATTGGATCTTCGACCTCCCAGCAGATGTCGACTTCTCACGGTTAGAGCGGTCATGCCACCAGCTAGTAGACCGTCATGACATCCTTCGTACAGTGTTCATCCAAACACAAGGTCGATTCTGGCAGGTCTTGCTCAACCATTTGAATCCCGCATACGACAACTTCCAGGCAAATCACGATGAAGATATTACAACCTTCGTTGATTCCATTTGTGAGCTGGATCGAAAAAGGATTCGAGCCTTTGGCTCTTCCTTCATTCGATTCATGGCAGTGCGGAGTCCCTCTGGGAAGCACCGACTCATTTTCCGGATCTCACACGCCCAGTTCGACGGCTTTAGCTGGGATACGGTTCTCCGCAGTCTCTCTTCACTCTACTGCGGCGAAACTCTCTCTGACGAACCGAAGTTTGCCCAATATATTGCTTACAGAGAGGACAAAAAGGCAGACGCCTTCACCTACTGGACATCACGCCTTAAACATACTCCAAATCCTAACTGGAGTAGCATTGATTATTCGAAAAGTGTGTACAGTACCAAGGACCGTCTGACCATGAAAGCAACGGTTCCAATGCCCGAAGGCCGGTTGGTTGAAGGGATGTCGCCCGCGACTTTATTCCATGCAGCTTGTGCTATGGTATTGTCCCACCAGTACCAACAACCTCACGTTGTTTTTGGTCGACTTGTCACTGGCCGGTCGATGCTACCGAGCAGTCTGCAAAATGTGGTTGGTCCATCTATGACCGAGATTCCTATCAGCGTGCACATTGACGACCATGCTACTATTTCTGGTGTTGCATTGCAGTTGCAGCGTCAGCTCATTGAGGATTCCCGATACGAAACCGCCGGGATGGAAGAAATTATCCGGAACTGCACTAACTGGCCTGATGACGCAAAAGACTTTGGCTGGCGGACCTCTTTCCAGCAAGAAGATGAACGTAACTTCACTTTCCTTGGGACAGAAAGTCGGATATCGTTCTATGAGGCAGACCTGCTGCCTCGAAACCGACCGGAAATATACGCTACCCCACGCGATGGGAAGCTGGATCTCGAATTTGAGGGCAATCGCCAGTTGATCAGTGAGGATCATGTTCGAAGCTTTATCCAAGGTCTGGAAAAGGTGTTGAGTGACATTTGATATGCGATACGAAAGTAGCCTTTCATTTATTTTTCATAATGCAAATTTCGATGTCATCAAGTTCATAAGACATCTAAAGTCTAGTGATCGTTTGAATTTCTTAAACTGATCTCTAGCCGTTCCAAGGCCAACAACACGTCCTGTTCTATAGCAGGGCTGTGTAGGTTATTTTAGTTACTCTGTATCTCTAGGCCAATTCCGACCTTCCCTCTCGTGAGTCTGTAAGCCCAGAGGGCGGCAGTCAAGCTCACATCAACAAAGTCGAAAACAAGAGCTCCGCCAAAAATGATCGCATAATATGTCCACGCTAAAGAATTTGGCAAAGATATCACTGTTACAATAATCGCCCAAGGCAGCATCCAGAGGAAGTTGGATCCAAGTGATTGGTAGAGGTACCATCGTGGCGATGTCGCCAGAAGAATTGCCGCAATCTGGCAACTTAAACCATAGAATATGTACGTCCAGTCAATATTCTGTTATATGTCAATCGACATTGGGCTCGCCATTTCATTCTTTTTCTCACATACCTTCCACATAGTTTGAGTGATCTTTGCCACAGCCGTCGAGTCCGATAAATAATGCGCAAATGCCTCAATCCCACGCAACGATAGTGCAATGCACATGATAGTCTCGAAAGCCAATGCAACCAGGCAAGAGAAAAGCGCTGGTTGAATCAGCTCTACAAGGGTGAATCAGTAAGTGGCTACCACAAGACCTGGCACTACACCTACCAATGACATCATTTCTAGTTGCCTTGGGGTATGCAGTGCCACTTTCAGCACGGAACTGGCCCCAGTTATGACCCACAAAAGCCAAAGTGGAAGCCTCCAATGCCTGCACGGGAACCATGACAAGCCCCCAGCGGATCGTGTTGAAGACTCCCCAGGAAGTTGCATAGTCACTACCTAGTAGTATGATTCTATGAACAAGCCACAGATATATCGCATTTCGGATAGCCGACTCGGCAAATGTGTAAGCACTAGGTTTGATAAGTGTCAATAAAGCGGAAAGTCTACAGCGCAGTCTATGCGGGCCATCTGCATCCTTTTGGCAGCGCCTGACGACAACGGTGAGAAAGTACATCAGTCCGAGCAAAGACGATACACTATCACAAACAAGCCGAATTATGGCCTGCATGACAATCGTAGGTTTCCAGCGACCTACATGTACCTTTGAAATGACTAGTAGATCGAGGACGATGTTGATGAGGAACTTTGCAGAACTGATGATCAAAGGCACGTCGGGGTTATCCAGCGCCCTTGTCGATGCAGATAAGGCGGCTTCTATAGCAGACGTCACAGCCTGTACAGATGACAGTCGTACATAGGTGATAGAGGTTTGTCGTACCTCCACTGGCACGAATCCCGAGGCCAGAGTCTTGGAAGCAGCCAAAAATATCACTGTCATTGTTATTCCAAGGGCAGTCTGTGCAAGGATCATTGTGTAGGCCAGGTTCAGCCGTAAGGAGACACTCTGCGTAGACTTGTTCCCAATGACGAGCCATGCAGAGCGGGGCAGGCCCTCGTTAAGCACTTCCACAATCACTCCGATATAAGTGTAGATATCTGTCGTGACGACTTGCTTCGCGTCGATGTTTGCCACCCAGAGCTTGCTGAGAGTGCTGTACAAGGCGGGAAGGGCGAACGCTCCCAGATTAAACAAAAATGAACCGAAATATCTACCCAAGTCAAATTCCCTGTTCAGACAGAGGGGAAAATACACTCACGATTCACGACTCCATGGCTTAGCATTTGGAACAACCTCAGGCTCCTCTCTCATCCCCTGCTCCCTCGCCCTATTGCTTCGTACAGTAGGTTTAGTAGCGTCAGTTTCCATTTCTGCAGATGATATCTGAGTCACGTTCAGAGGGAGGAGATTGGGGTTTGGAAGAGGGGAATTCTCTTGGCACCTTATGCTTGTCTTTACGTGGGCACTTTAAGACGTTGAGCGTTGATAGGCCCATCTTGAGAAGGGCAAACAAGCTAGAAGATGAGATAAGCCACCAAGTTTGACATTGTCGTCCCAAGATATTGTCAAAAAAATCAATTTCTAGGTATTATAGTACTCTTAATTTATTGAGGTTCAAATTCCCCGTGAAAATGATTCCACATCCCCCTTTTATTAGTTGGATTAGTTCGGCCGGTTGCGTTCTAGATCACCATCAGCTAACTACTCATTTCTATTCATTTTGATCCAATTTCCTTTGATTACTAATTTAAGTCTCTAAAGCTATCTTTTAGTAAAATATGGTAAAATATGGTAGAAGTCTAGTGGCCTAGAATGCCTTAAGCGTGGGTTGAAAAACAGGTCATAAATCGAATAATTAGTAGGCTCTATTTTCACCCGATCTGGGCTCTCTTAAGCTAGTTCAGCGATTCCAAAGGTTTAAAATGTAAAATATACGTCTTAAATTAATAAATATAAGTAGTAATATTAAAGGGGACTAGGCAAATTTTAAGCGCTAAATTTGCTTTGAATAGGATGCAATTGATTAAGGTGTAACTGATACTTTGATACGCTCTATGCCTAAGAGACTGTTTACACTGCGTAAGGCAAGGAAGTATTATATTAAATGTTCAGTTGAGTTCGTTGGCCATTTTTCTATTAATAAGAATTAAATATGTGTTCAATAAGTTGATGGTGTAAAGATATATATTTGATTGGGGGGTGGGTAAAATTCAACTGATGACTACTCCGTCCTTGGTGAGGGCTCATGCACCTGACAGAGCCGCATGCTGTATTCCCCTTTCTTCCCCACGTCCACATATTATCTTTTTTACATTTAGAATGAAATTTCAAGTATGCCACGAAAACCCATCTCAAAGTGTGATCATGGGTCTATATGTTTGTCCTCTTCTTCTCATGCTTCGGTAGCAGGGTTCAGAAGACAAGGCCAACGGCAACGTCTCGCTGCCATCAAAGCAGACAACCGAAGCTTTCCACGAGAAGACAAACTCTTCCTTGAGGAAGATGACAGAGTTTTCCCTGCCCCTTTGTTGCTGCCTGGAGATGATCTTGCCGGAGACCTAGATGACGCGCAGAGCTTTCAAGAATGGCTTGATGGCGAACACCGCAATCCGATAACGGCTAAGCAAAAAACTGTTTATGTCGTTCCATCACCTCAAATTGACGCAAATGTTGACTTCATGCGAACATGGAAAACACCAAAATGTCCAGATCATGAGCTTTCCACAAAGCCGCCTAGCACAAAGGACGTCCAAGACTATCTGACTGCCTTCTATCACGGTCTTCCTGTCAAGATGATGCCACCATCTACCTTGCGGTTTATTCCCTGGGAAGAACCCCAAAAGAAAACTCGGAAAAAGATGGGCCCGCAATACCTGGGTCTACAATCTGGCGATGAGTGCGTGCGGATTCGCTCACGTACTTTGTCAGATGGGGTATATGAGGGCCAAGTCAATCTGGACGATCTTCTGGATACTGCTATTGGTATTTTACCGAAAGATGCATATGCTCTCCTAATGCTTGTGGACTTCGATCTCTACGAGGACGATGATGACGAGTTCGTATGTGGCCGTGCATACGGAGGAAGTCGCGTTGCAGTGGTATCTAGTGCAAGATATAACCCCATCCTGGATACTATTCAAGATGTCGAGCGTCACCATGCATGGCCCGCGTCGCATTGCGAGAAGTATATGTCTGCATGTGCTTCAGCAGAGCCAACTGCAAAGAGACAGAAAAGATCTCAGGTCAATAGCCGAGTATCACAAAATTCGACTTTAGAGCTAAACGGACCTGTGAGGGATGCAGTATCAGTCTACCGCTCCCTCCCAGAGGTAGATTCATCGCCTTCCTTGCTGTCCGCGCTGTGGTTGGGTCGGGTTTGTCGGACGGCGAGCCATGAGTTGGGTCACTGCTTCGGTATTGCCCATTGCGTGTACTACGCGTGCTCAATGCAAGGCACCGCGTCTATCTGCGAGGACGCAAGACAGCCGCCTTATCTCTGTCCGGTCGATCTGGCGAAAGTTCTTTGTGCTACTTCTATGTCTGCGTCTAAGCGATACCGGGCTCTTCTAGCGTTTTGTGAACGACCGGGTAATAGTGATACACATTTCTTCGGACCTTTTGCGACTTGGATCCGAAGTAGGCTAAGTCAGATCAAGGACTCGACTTAAGTTTCTTGATCAGCATGCTGCTCTCTGCTTTGCCATGGTGATGATGATAAATGGATGTAGATGAACACAGTCTCTTTCACAAACTCAATAGAATAATTAGGGTTATGAATAAAATTGATCGAGAATATTGGAACAGGAACAGGAACATTCTAGAAAAGAGTCTATGTACATTATAGAGTTGAACCATGGTACTCCCTAGATGGAACCGAACTTTCGACTTCCCAAAAATGGGGTATGCCTTCGAAACCCACTAGTCTTCACATGTGACATGCGACGTCTCGTCCTGTCTTCATCGGCGAACTCCCGAAATTCTTTGAACTTAGTTTTAACTCGGTAAAACTGCCAGTCGTGGTGTGGTATGAGTTCAGGGAGGACCGTGGATGATGCGATGCCGGAGCTCGCCTTAGAGTGGAACGATGGGGTTGAGTTGATGTATCGAAGTTTAAATGCGGCGATCGATTGGAGAGACTCGGTCGGGACAGTAATAAAATCCGTTTCCCGTTTCGTCCATCTCAACAAAACTGAGGCGTCGTTTCAAGCCATATGATCCGAGCACGTTACAAGGTTTCCATTTAGTAATTGTTGAAGGCATCTGTCCTGCTAACAATAGACAACGGGCAACTTGCGAACGGGCTAGTAGTATGAGAGGTCTGTTCGCTATTGCACTTTTCCAAAAGCAGGACTAGTTCGCTTGTTCCTAGTAGCCGACCTTGTTAAGCTCATGTTTCAAGTTAAGAGTTAGGGGTCCTCAGTTTGAGGATGTCTTGCTTTCAGCCAATCCATACTCGGCAGAAGTTCGGATGATGGTGCATGAAACTCTCTGCTATGGCTTTGAAGCTTTAAGACGTTTCACCAGTTCGTGAACTGGTGGATCATCGATCAGCTGTGCGGTCAGAGAAAACAAAAATAGATACTGTTTCAAGTAGAGTAAGGTTCCTGACGGACCGTGGATCTGGGCATTGTTGATGAGGTTCGTGTTCGAGCTTTTTTTTTCCCTGGTTATGTTCCACTATGAAACATCCGACACCCTCCGAAAGGGGGTGGTAAGATGTGGGGAATATAACACCTCGGTATGAGAGATGTAGGAAAGAAAAATCTAAGTTGTAGGGTTAAATGGTTTCCACGGTGATTTCAAAATAACGAAACTATTAAAATAAAAAGCCAAAATAACACCTGATAACTCTCGTTCTGGGACTATTCTCGGCCGATTGTTCCGAATTAACGACTATCGCATTGAGGCGTCGGACTATTTGAGCCTAATGATTTTTTTGAATAGTTTTCTTTGTTCTAGACCATATTTCGTACTCGGTACTTCGTAATCGTATATTTACTTGTACCTTGGATATTATTGAGAGTTGTGTTGGCAGAAGTAGAATTATTGTTCAATGAAGGGTTAGGGGGCCATCGGGTCAGGCATGAAAATACGTACTTTGTACGGAGTATAAGTTTGTTCGAATCCCGAAGAATAGAAAAAAATTTCCTACCTGCATTTGTTTCAACATTTGCTAATTCTTAGTCATTTTGTTCCGAGGCAGCCGTAGCAAAGATACTCTCCTGCATTAGGCCGATCCTAGCAGCGGGTCGGGGAGCTGCAGCTAGAGATGAGAAGCTGTAGTAGTCCCATATCTGGCACCACCAGCCTGTTACAAATCAGCCCGATCGCAATTTCCAAGGTGCAGGTGCTGGGTTATCCTCCAAGTTAAGAGGCTTACCATCACATGCGGTGTCTGCAGCCACTGCTCGTGGAGCTCATCTGCGTGGAGTGAGACATTGCATTCATTCATGCAGATCACTACGTTTAGTGCTGTTTGGGAGCAGGTAGTTTGTGGAGCAGCGGAAAAGAAGCTTAATGGCTAGGGTTATTCCTCGAAATGTTGTATTCAATAGTCCCCTGTCAAGGGTTTCGGGATCTGTCTGGCTGACTGCTACATGGGGCGCCATCAGTACATTAAACAAGTACGGTTCAAAGACAAAATTCACGAGTCTAAGGGATAGTGCTCTCTCCACTTTAACGGCCAAGGAAACGGCCAAGGAATATTTAGCTTGTTTTTGATACCTGACTATCTTTGATAGAGGATTCTTATTTGACTATGCAACCCGCGGAGTGGAGTTTTTCCCATGCGTGACCTGCATAACTTCATATTTCGTTCATATTCCACGCCCGGCTATAAGTAGCGTCTTGACTAGTGCAGGTTGTGACACTAAAGGCCTAGATGCTGACATCCTTGTTTGTGTGTAGAGTATCGTGGAAATTCGGGTTCAACTGTTGGTATCGGCTCTGTGTTGTAGTGTTGTATGTTGTAGCTATTATCTGCAATATTTGGTTCTACAATGTACTCTTCACAATCTGTAGAATATAGTCGTATTCACTCATAGCGACCGTATACTTTGGGAAAATCTCTCACGTTATGCTACACTCTATATTCCGTACTTTTATCTCCGTATATATATGAATAATATCCGAGCCCCTCAAAAGCACCTTAAAGGCAGACCGAAAATTCAGTTGGTGGCTGACAGGTACCCGTAAATAATTCTTAACATTCTTACTATCTCCGGAGTAAATATATTTGAGTTGACAGGTGTTTGACGGAATCGGACATGTCCATCTTTGCCTCATATGGTCAAAAGCGTGCATACTGTGCCTGGGCTAATTCCCCGGCTGTGGAACATGCATTTTACAACAGCCCACTCGGAATGCCGCATAAACTTATTACTTGAGATTTAGATACATGGACTTGAAGTGCTATGAGGCATGGTACCCCAACATACGGAGTACATCGTAGAAAGGTAGAGTAGAGAATATAGTTCCGACTGTGGAGATAGAAAGGGGGTAACTTCAGATTCGATTTTGATACTCTGTACTCCGTACAAAAATTTGGATGTTAAAGGGTTTCAACCGTTCCAAGGTTGATCTTGTTGATCCTTTTCCCCTTAAGACTTGGCAGTTTTCTTTTCTTTTTATATTTTTCTTTTCTTTTATTCTTTATTCCCCATTTCAATCTTCGTGGGGGGCACATCTTCTAGGACTTCCAAATGAATTTACCGCAATGAGCCAGATAGAAGAATTAAGATTTAGATTTTGGTATGATGAATATGATAATGTGATCCATTTTGCAAACTCTCTAACCAGAAAGCCCACAAAGACCAAAAATAGCTCGGAGGGTGGTCCACAATGCGGTAATGCACCGGTTAGCCTCTCAGGAGTCATGATCCACTTGAAATATCCAAGTCTCCATCTCTATCCCTGAGCCCTAAGGGGTCGATACCTCCAAATGTGGAATTGGAGACCGGGGTAGAACCAGTATGAGTCTGTTCCGATGTGGTGCCCTTAATCGATGTGCCCATAAACCTCCCCTCCCGGCTTGAAGTTGATCAGGGGTATATAAACAACGATGGCGATCACCTCTTCGGATCTTCAATTGTTCAACTGTCTTTTTCTTTTTTCAATCTTTTAGTCTATCGTTAATTCCTTTGGCGGCTTTTGCTTGCCTTTCCAGTCTTTCGCTTCTGTATACCCTTGGTCAGAAGATTTATACTTCCAACAGCTTTTGACCTATACATTCGTTAATACAACACACAAAACGCAACATGCGTTCTTCTCTCGTTTTGATCGCCGCTCTGGCGAGCGCTGCTCTCGCCTACCCTACCGAAAGGTCCGTTGAGCCCCGCACCCTGGGCCTCCTCGGGGAGCTCCTCGGCGACATCACTGTCGACGTGTCTTCCATCCTCAATACCATCCTCCATGGCCACTCCTCCGTTGAGCTCTTTGCTGGTCTAAGTGCTGAGGGTGCTGCCGCTCTTCAGGGTGGTGCTCTCGGCTGCAAGTCCGGCGCTATCCACTACAAGGCTAAGGCCGCTCTCAAAGCTTGGCTGCTCTTCCACGCCAACATTGACCTCTCTCTCAAGAAGTCACTGATCTCATGGTGTGAGGGTAACGAGGAGCTCGTCCTCTCCTCAGACGTCCTGGCTGCTCTGTCCGTGTACATCCCCGGATGTGCCGACATCGCTGCCAAGGGTCAGCTTTTCGTGACCATTGAGGGTATCTTCGAGGCTGCCAGCCTCGAGTCTGCTCTCGTCCTGAGTGCTGGTGCTCAGGCTTCCCTTTCCGCTTGGATTGAGGCTCAGCTTGGTCTTGATGTGGGCGTCAAGGTCGGTCTGAATGTCTGCGCCGCTGGCGGTGTTGTCGGCAGTCTGTCGGCTGATATCAAGGCTGCCCTCTTTGCTTGGATCAGCAGCAAGGAGTGTGAGCTCAGCGCTCACCTCAAGATCACAGTCCTTGCCTGGATCAATGGTCACGCCGGTGGTGACCTTGTTGAGATTGGTGCTATTGCTGACACTGCTCTCTCCACCATCTCCGTTGGTGCTTCCATTGGCGTGCACGTCCTGGAGTCCGGCCTCCTGTCTATTGGCGGCCAGGCCTCCCTCGCCGCCTTCCTGGGCGTTGATCTCGCTGGTAATCTCGCTGCTGATGTCAAGCTCGGTCTCGAGGCATGCGCCAAGGGTGGGCTCGCCACCGCCGTGGAACTTGATATCCGTACCCAGCTCGCCATCTGGCTCCACAGCTCCGACTGCACTCTGGGCGTTGAGCTCAAGGCTGTTGTCCTTCTTTGGCTGTCCTTCGCTGTCGAGGCTGATGCCTCCGTTTCACTCGACCTGGTTGGTGGTCTTGTCGGCGATGTCACTGGTCTCCTGACCGAGACCCTCACCGGTCTCAGCGTTGATCTCCGTGGTGCCCTTTCCCTCTGCGCTGCCGGCGGTAGCCTGGTTGACCTGACCTTCGCTGCCCGTGCTGAGCTCGCTGCCTTCCTCAGTGGCTGCACATCCATTGAAATCGATACCAGCATCCAGATCATCATCATCGAGTGGTTCACCGGCTGCAGCATTCCCGGTGCTCCCTCCGCCCCCGCCTCGTCTTCCGTTCCCAGCCTGCCCTCCAGCACCCCTTACCTGCCCAGCACCTCCGCTGTGCCTTCCGGTCCCGGTGCCTCCGTCTCCGTCTCTGTCTCTGTTCCTGCCGGCACTCCCATTCCCAGCGGCCCTGCTGCCTCTACCACCCCCTGTGATACCGAGACCTCGGTCATTGTCGGCTCCACTGTGATCCCCGGCCCCAGCGGCTCCGGCTCTATCACTGTCACTGTCCCTGTTGTTCCCACCGGTACCAGCCCTGCTGAGACTCCCTCCGGCGTCTCTCCCACCGGCACCGGTGTCCCCGGAGTCCCCAGCGCCCCTGTCTCTTCTGGACCCGTTCCCTCCGGCCCCGATGCTACCAGCACTCCCTGTGATACCGAGACCTCGCAGATTATCACCTCAACTGTGATTCCCGGCCCTAACGGCTCCGGTTCTATTACCGTTACCATCCCTGCCGTGCCCACCGGAACCAGCCCTGCTGAGACCCCCTCCGGCGTCTCTCCCACCGGTACCGGCGTCCCCGGAGTCCCCAGCGCCCCTGTCTCTTCTGGACCCGTTCCCTCCGGCCCTGATGCTACCAGCACTCCCTGTGATACCGAGACCTCGCAGATTATCACCTCAACTGTGATTCCCGGCCCTAACGGCTCCGGTTCTATTACCGTTACCATCCCTGCCGTGCCCACCGGAACCAGCCCTGCTGAGACCCCCTCCGGCGTCTCTCCCACCGGTACCGGCGTCCCCGGAGTCCCCAGCGCCCCTGTCTCTTCTGGACCCGTTCCCTCCGGCCCTGATGCTACCAGCACTCCCTGTGATACCGAGACCTCGGTCATTATCACCTCGACTGTGATCCCCGGTCCTAACGGCTCCGGCTCTATCACTGTCACTGTCCCTGTTGTTCCCACCGGAACCAGCCCTGCTGAGACCCCCTCCGGCGTCTCTCCCACCGGCACCGGTGTCCCCGGAGTCCCCAGCGCCCCTGTCTCTTCTGGACCCGTTCCCTCCGGCCCCGCTGCCACCTCTGTCCCATGTGACACCGAGACCTCGGAGATTATCACCTACACTGTGATTCCCGGTGGTCCCGGCGAGTCTGGCTCCAAGACCGTCACCGTCCCTGCCGTGCCGACTGCCACCGGACCTGCTGAGACTCCCTCCGGCGTTGCTCCCACCGGCACTCCTGTCGCTACCGGCCCTGCTGCCAGCACTCCCTGTGACACCGAGACCTCCGCTATCGTCACCTCCACTGTGATCCCCGGTGGCCCTGTTCCTTCCGGCGTCGCTGCCACCACTGAGGTGCCTGTTCCTTCCGGCCCCGCTGCCACCACTGAGGTTCCCGTTCCTTCTGGACCTGCTGCTGCCAGCACTCCCTGCGACACCGAGACCTCCGCCATCGTCACCTCCACTGTGATCCCCGGCGGCCCTGCTCCCTCCGGCCCGGCTGGTACCACCGAGGTGTCCGTTCCTTCCGGTCCTGCCCCTACCAGCCCTCCCACCCAGCCCTCCGGCGGTGAGTCTGTTACCACCAAGACCGTGACTGTGACTGCCACCGTCTGCGGCTGCGAGTAAAGCAGACACCATATCTGGATATATTCCGAAGTCACGACCCTAGAAGGTCTCTCATATTATTTCCTTCAACTTTGTTATTTTCTGTTTTTTTGCCCCCTTTCCCACGACAAGATGACTTCCCCCATCCCACCCACCCTGTGATCTACCGTCCCTAGCGTCTCTGTAGATATCTAATTCTAATTCTAATCAGTTTGTGTGGCGATTGAAAGATCCTGTTCATCATGTATATCACATGTATATCTCATGTTCTGGTGTGCTTATGTATGGTTCTGGGTCCATTGACAGTCTTCTCCCGGCGGATATTGGCATTCTGAAGATCCCTTGTTGACTGATGAGTTGAGCATATATACATTCTTCCCCTTTAATGGAGTACATTCCTTTATGTTATTATGTTGGGTCTTTTGAAACAATTTTAGCGATATATTTTCATACCTTAAGAATCTTCCGAACTAAGCATTTCACCAAGTAGCTAGCTAAGGAAACTGACTGAAGTTTAGGAGAACATCATCATCTTTCCCATTATCAAGGACATTCCGCCTTACAGTGTAACAGAGCACATTGATCATGATAAAAAAACAGTAATTGGAATTCTTACAAAATACATGTACAGCGCTAAAACGCACACATTTCGTTGGGAGTAAATCTCAAAGTTCAAGTCAAACATGGCCAGTGTTAATTCCTCCCACTGGTTCTTGCTGCTCTCGTTTAGTCCTGCTTTGGCTGTGAGGCACTGCTCAGCTTCTCGCTAGAACGGCGACGCATGGCGATACATCTCTCACGAAGTAATTTCTCACGAAACTCAGTTGAATGTATCCATGCAGAAACTGGTTTATCGGGCTAAGTGTTGTGAGTTTGTTAGTATCCGATTCAACATCGTAACTCGAGAAACAACATGACTTGTGAAATTTTTAGACGAACATTAAGTAGGAATTGAATCTGGGTGGTAAAGGATACAAGGTGGAGGTCGGAGCAGGAATCTTTATTCTCAATGACCAACCTGCTCGGCAACTTTTGTTTCACTGTCATCGGCTTTGGACGGATCATCGGCTTTCAAGGGGGGTGGGTTGGAATCCTCGTTCTCATCAGCCATCTTGCGTCGTTTCTCATCAGGGTTGTATCTTTCCAAAGAGCGGCGCCGCTTGCCGTCAGTTTCCTTCTTGGGGCTGCGGCTGCGGCTGCGGCTACGGCTCCGACCACCGCTGGGGCTGCGGCGTCGACGGTTCTCACCACGATCACGTGTACGGTCGGGGCTGCGGCTGCGACTGCGGCTCAAGCGACGAGAATCGCGGCGAGCATAGCGTCCAGATGAGCGGCGAGATCTCGAGGGAGATACGGGCTTAGGAGAGTCTGCCTGGCGCCGTGTGTAACGAGGCGACGAGGATACACTGCGGCTGCGAGAGACGGAGCTTTTTCGGCGGCGGTCTCCTCTGGGGGAACGTGAGCGCGGGGAACGGCTGCGGGAAATGGGTCTTGCTTTAACACGGTCACCGTAATCCGGACTGCTGCGTCTTCTGGCTCCTCCGCGGTTGCGTCGCTCGGGAGATACTGAGTTGCTTGGGGAGCGGGGGCGGCGTTCGTGTCGCCTGTGGCGTGGCTCGTCGCGGTTTCGGCGAGATGGTGACGATGGCTTTGGGGATCGAGATGGAGAACGAGTGCCGTGTGGAGATCTGGATGGCCGGCGGCCGCGACGATTACCAGGCGGCACGTAGGAGTCAAAGTCACGTCGCGATGGAGGTTCACGGAATCGGTCTCGGCTACGGTCTTGGTCTCTGGGAGGCGAAGATCTTCTATTGAAGTCTCGTCCCCGACCTCCACGGCCACCGCGATCACCACGATCACCACCTCTTCCTCCACGTCCGCGGTCTGGTCGCTCGCGGCGTCTCACATCGTCCAGCTCTCGTTCGCGGTTTTGATCTTGTTCCCTTTGGCGTCGAAGTGCTTCGCTGGCTTTTTCAGCTTCGAGCTATGTTGTAGTATGATTAGAAAACATCCGAGGACGAGGGGACGCTTACAATCACCTTCTCTTGTATGAGCTCAAGCTTCTTAGCCTCCAAGAGCTCCTTCGGGACGCCCTGTGGATTAGCCTGACCGCTTAGACACAACGACCACAGTTCTTGACAGAACTTGGGGGTATCTTTGTCTAGGAATCCGGTGAGTTGGATTTGGAGGGATTTGATATCGGGCTAGAAACAGAAACAGATGTCAGCAAACTAGGGTCGAGACGCTAGAGATGCAACGGCCCAACGTACGTAGCGCGGTCCCTCGAGATGCGCGAAACAGAGCTCAATAACGACGTCATCCTCGTTCCCCAATATCTTGGAGATTTGACTTGCGATCCATCTACATAGGTGGGGGAAAAAAGCAACGTCAGTAAACCGGAGATACCGAAAAAACCCCGGGGAAAGTCACTTACTTCTTCATAACCTCAATATTGACCTTGGTCATATCCACCTTCTTATTGAACTCGGGCGGGAACTTAGTCCGCCTGATCAGCTTGGCATCCACGCTAGACGCCATTTTTTGCTAGAGTCCGAGGTGAGGGTAGGAAAGTCCATGACCAGCAAACGAGAGATAGATGTCCGCGGTGCTCTAGTTGCACTCTTGGTCGTTCGCGGGTGCCGTATTAAGTTTGATGCCCGATCTATCAGGCGACGAACTTATCAACAGTCATAATATCAACGACGTTCTTATTACCTAGGTGGATATAAATACTCTGTAGCTCAGTCTATAAATTTATACTTCTGTAATCATTTATCTTTCTTTTTCTTATATCTTCTAAAGAAAGAAACGAGAAGGGAAGGATATGCTAGGCAGACCTATAATTTTTCCCTCTTAGAGTATATATGTCTGTGCCCCGGTTAACAACTGCTGTATATGTATGTGTATTACTTTTTGGCAGTTCATAGCTATAGTGTGATGAAATTCAATTTTATACAATGCCAATGCACTATGGGACTCATATGAGCTAAGAATAAACACTAATTTTATATTCTTTTTAGAGTATGGGCTCATATTTGTCAAACACCTCAAAGCTATATTCTTGTATGATTATCTTCCAGGGCTGCTCTGATAATCTAGAATTTGTGGAGAATCGATAATCAATGTCTTGTCAATGCTGAGTATATACGAATCATCACGTTTCGTTCCTTCTTCGGATTTTTTATCGACATAAATTATACTAAATGTTAGAAGACAAAGTGATGGACATTTAGATGGATAAAAGAACCTCCATATTTACTTGAACTCAAACTAAATAGGAGTGCAAACTTATATGATACTATTAGGATTGAGGAGTATGACAGCATTGAAGAGTTTAGTTTAGTAACTAGGGTATAGATGTAGAGTGGAGGTTATCCGGCCGACCCCATTTATCGGGTATATGTAGTGGACGGACTGCGGCTTCAAATCACTTAAGATAGTGGGAAACTCTTACCAGAGAAAACTGGGGTATAATCAGCACCTAGAGCCTTGTCCATCTTTGTGCAATTCTCTTTACTCAAACACAGAATCAATTCTTTCAATGTTCTCTGGTATGTTGTGGTACAGACGTCGCCATAGCAACACCATGCACGTGACCTGTATAGCGCGCCCGCGACGAAACCTCGAGACCGGGCTTTCTCCAGGATCAACAAAACAATCGACAACTTTGGAGGGGCCACATTGATCCACGACTTCAATGTAGGTATTATCGCCATGGCCTCCCCGAATTCCCTCCCAGCATACAACGAGCTGTACCGACAGCCAGCCCGACCGATGTCCCGATCCGCGGTTTCACGTTCGGGTTCCAGACGGGCATCTCCATCAACACAGGCTCTGCCCAGACATTACTCTGGGGACAGCTCCGACGAAGAGGTCCCCGAACCTAAATTCAGCGCTTCTGTAAAAGCATTGCTTCATGGAGATGGATTAGGTTCTTCGCCTCATCTACAAAAGGCACACATGTCGTACGAACCTCGAATTGAAACATCAAGACAGCAAAGCCGCTCACCACGAAATTCGTCCCCACACGACTCATCTAATGGTAGCCCGGCTCCAAGAGTCGTCCGTATAGGAGCCATCTCATCGGCTTCCCGATTCTCACGCGAAAGCTCCCCACTATCAAATAGCCAGAGCGCAGAACCAGAGCACCACAGCCGGCCCAATGATTTTATTACTCCCGCTCCACGCCAGCGCAGTGTTCGCATCAACGTTTCGCGCAGCAACACACGATCCCCCGCGTCTGTCTCGCCTTCAGGAAAGCGCTCGTCGGGACGCAATTCGGCCGACGAGTATGGTAGTGCAGAGCGCTCGGATAGTGATCGGAAATCGCAATATGATGATGATCCTGCGATGCGATATGGACTTTCCTCCGCGTTGCGAGGGCGCGGCGGCGAAGAAATCGCTCCACATAGTTCGCTGCGTGTCAAGCGGGTTGGTCGACTCGCTGGCACCTTCTTGAACGGTCCTGCCCGGAGGGGCGTACTGCGTCGTCAGAGCGAGGAAAGTAACGAGGAAAATCACCAATATCTCTCGGCTGACGGCGTCCGGGAGGACGTGGAAGGAGAGGAGGAGAATGCAGAATACCGACCTCGCAACCCAGCAAAATCTTCATCCCCCAAGGTGTCATGGGCTGACCCAAGCCCGCCTCTTGTGCGTGAATCCAATCGACCAGAATATCCTCTCCGCCCTGCTGAGGTTGAAGGACCGTTTTCGAGGTCATCTTCGCCAAAGTCATACGGCTCGAAGTCCACACCCGCTTCATCAGATATGTCTTCCAAATCCTCAATCGCGAAGGAACATCCTGTATTCAAGGTTCCTTCAATACCGGCTTTGCCATCGGTCCGTGACCAAGAGAATGAACCACCACCAACTTTCAGGCGCACAAAGCCCCAGGGGTTGAATGTGTTAGATAAACCTGAAAAGTATAATGTTGTTTATGATACCGAGAAGAAAGATGTAGCAGAGACGCCAGCAACAAACTCTGCACGAAAGATACTTGCCACGCGGAGTAACAACACCCCTCATAGGGCCGCTCCTCCTCCTCCGAAAATGTCAGTTCTTGAGACTGCTACTTCCACAGGAGGCGCATCGACATCCCAATCGCGGAAAAAGAAGAGTCAAGTCGCGATTAATGGCAAGCATTTCACTCGACTTGATTGCATTGGTCGAGGCGGCAGTTCCCGTGTCTATCGAGTGATGGCAGAGAATTACAAGATCTTCGCTCTCAAGCGTGTCAATCTTGAAGACGTCGATCCAGTGACTTTGACCGGATACAAGGGTGAAATCGACTTATTAAAAAAGTTGGAGAATGTAGACCGTGTGGTCCGCTTGTTTGACTGGGAACTGAACAATGACAAACATGCTCTTAGTGTGCTGATGGAGATTGGAGAGTCTGATCTCGAAAAGATCCTCACCTTCCGTCTAAACGCTGAGGATGCTGTGTTTGATATCAACTTCACCCGATTTTATTGGAAGGAGATGCTCGAGTGTGTCCAAGCTGTCCACGAGTACAACATTGTCCACTCGGATTTGAAGCCGGCCAACTTCCTCATGGTTCAAGGCCGACTGAAGCTTATTGACTTTGGAATTGCGAATGCGATCCAAGATAACACGGTCAACGTTCATCGTGAACAGCAAGTCGGCACGCCAAATTATATGTCCCCTGAAGCATTGGTTGATTCCAACGTGTCGCTCGGTCTGCCTTCAAGTGTTGGAAAAGTTATGAAATTAGGAAAACCCAGCGATGTCTGGAGTCTGGGTTGTATTCTGTACAAGATGGTCTACGGACAACCACCATTCGCCAAGATTGCCAAATATTATGAACGCATCATGGCTATCCCCAACCCCCGTGTCCAAATCGATTTCCCGGCCTTCGGCGTCGGTGGCATCCCAGTGCCTCCTGGACTTGTTCGGACTCTCAAGCGCTGCCTGCAGCGCGATCAGACCCTCCGACCAACCATTGAGGAGATGCTTGGCCCGCGCGATCCATTCTTGCACCCCGATGCCCAGCTTGAGGGTGCTGTTCCAGTCACCCAGGATATGCTTGGCCGTATCCTGGCCAACGTTGTCAATCACTGCAAGGCCCGCGGTGTACCCAGAGAAGAGGAACTGGCTGCATGGCCCGCAGGATTCTTTGCAAAAATAAAAGCAGCCCTTGAAGAAGAAAACCCATGACAACACCCAACCACTCCTTTCACTTTATTTCCTTTGTTTTGACTGCCGTATTGGCTTTTTCTGATGTTTCCTTCTTGGTTAGAACGACTTAACGACTGGTGTTGGATATGTGAATCTTTTTCTGTCTGGGTCTGCTTGGTTAATTTGCGGGATATCTCACTGTTTGTGTTTCTTTGCATTGTCTCTTCTCTTCTTTCTGCATCATCCTTCGGGATGTTTGTCCGACCCAACCATCTTGCCTTGTGGTGGGTATTTCTTGACGAATCTCGGTTTCAGCGCAGCGTGTGGATTTTCATTCCAGTACATGATTTCATTAGCCTTTTCATCTTTTTTCTTGCATTCGGATGGGTATTGTTTGAGTACCAGCGTTCTTAGACTGACAATAACCTCCCATTTGGTTAAGATGTTTAATTGACAACCCTTGGCTATCTTCATTACTTGGATACTATACTGCATGTTTCTTATCCTGTGGGCTACCCGGAAATCAAATCAAGTCTTCGATTCATGATCCATATAACGTCTTACAATGGGGATCTGACTTGCGATGCAGATGCTGCTTGTCTTCATAAAATCATAGTTGATAAATGCCTGACTATCTAAAAACTAGCTATGTCCATTCAGAAGCCAAACATGCGGAATACTTTTCGTTTGAAATCAATGGACTTGACTTTGCGCCATTAACACCACCCAAGAATAGAACATTTGAACAGTCTTGATAGACCGTATGTATCAAGAAAGGGAAATATAGAACTGCCTGAGCATGGTATCGAAGACAGGTGTGTACCTGCCGGGAATGTAGAGGAAGTGCTTGTAGTCAATTTAGACAAGGAGGACCCTATTGGAGGTTAGTTTGGGATATAGCATAAACAAAAGGAATTATCGAAGCAACTCACGCATTAACACAACCGTCGTTCTCGGGGGTGTTGGTGACCTGGGCCCATTTACCCCAGACAACCTTACCAGAGGTGGTAACAAGACCCAACTCGGAGACATTGACCTCAATGATTGTTCCCTTGGTCAAGACACCCAGCTGAGTATAGAGAGGGTTCTGGGGGTTCTTCTTGACGGACAGAATGGGGAGCTGCACGGTGACAGCCAGCTCGGGACTGAAGGGAAAAAAGTTAATATACCGTATACAACCAAAATAAACCGGAGGGTGGCATTCTCCCCCCCAGAGATAAAACATACTGTGTGACGTTACACTTCTTGTAACGGAGACCCATGGGACGAATGAACCGCTCGTACTTAACAGGACGACGGGTGAAGTCGTTGCCAACGAAAGTAGGCTTGGTGATCATACGCTTCCAGGCCTTCTTGTGGGTCTTCTTTCCGGTGTTGATAACCTTGAACATCTCCTCCTCGCTGATACCCTTGACCTTAGGCAGAGGGACAGCAAACTTAGCAGCCTTCTCATTACGCTTGTTCTTGATAGCACTGGAGAGGGCCTTGGCGTTGGTCTCCTGCGAGCGGTCGAGCAGGTACTGGGGCAGAGGGGTCTTGGAAGGCTCGTCGGGTGCGGCGGACTTGACGTTCTTCTCTTCCTGGGCCTTGATGCGCTTCTTCATTTGAATCTTCTCCTTGTGGCGATTCTGCTGGTACAGCTTGGCCCGCAGACCACGCAGGTTCTGGGCATCGTGGGACGCCTTGTGTCCCTCACGAGCCTGACGCTTTCGCATGCGCTCATCGTGATCGAGGCGCTTGCCGTGCTGCTTCTGCCAGCGCTCGATATACCTGGTGGGAAAATGTCAGTTAAAGATCGGGCGGTGGCTGGCGGGGAGAGACGAACTCGTTCTGAGGCTGCAGGTAGAAAGAAAAGTTAGTAAATTGATTAAATTAGACATTGAGAGACCAGGAAATCATTAGGAGCTTACCATGATGAACGACGAATGAACAACACGAGGTGAATGGGTGATGAAGTTCTTGCCTTGAAGATCTAATCGAGACCGAAAAAGTTGTGATGCGGGAAAAGATAGCGAGGCACGTGACGCTCCTTATCGGTAAGGCCGTTTCTCGAGTTCTTCAGCTTGTATAGACTAAAAGAAGAAATGATGATGAATGGTAGAAAATTGGAAGGAGATAATTGGTACTCTGAAATGAGGATATGCACTTTAATTCACTATCGTAATATTCCTCTCTTTTCGTTGCAAATCTGCATCCTTAACACATATATAAAATCTCACGTGATACTACGGGTGACAAAGCGGCCATTTGCGCAAGTAGTGAATTTCTCTAGTTACGGGGAAGCCGCTCTTCTATCTCGAATATCAACCACAGCGAACCACTTCCACTCTCGATCATTGAGCATTGGCAAGCGGTCAGTCAATATGTTCTCACGCTCCGCTCTACGGAGCTTCGCCTCCGAACTGCGCTGGGCGGCGCCGTCTACAATTTCATCCGCAGCTCCCCTGCAGCAACGAGCATGCCTTCACCAAAGTGCTTCTTTGATGAATTCGCAACAACCTCAGAGCCAATCGGCGTCCAGCCATCCTGAATCACCTCTAAGCGCCACTCCCCGGGCTCAAGATGCCCAACCAAAGACTCACCAGGGCGTCAAGGCCTCCGCTTTCGACGAAAACACCATGACACCCCAAACACGCGCACACGTTCCCATTGCAAAGCAACCCGTTGCCCCGACTTTCACCTCCCCTCTCCAAGTGACAAAATCTCTCATGTCACAGCTCCCCCACCTTGCCGGCCAGAAGCCGCACTACATCGTCGCTCAGCTGCACGCACGACCATACCTCTTGACCGAAGGTGATCACATTCGGCTGCCCTTCCTCATGCCCAAGGTCAAGGCGGGTGATATTCTGCGATTCAACCGTGCTTCCGCACTTGGATCTCGCGATTTCACAATGAAGGGCTCACCGACTATCGACGAGCGTATCTACGAGTGCCGAGTTCGTGTGACGGGTGTGGACGCAGAGCCGCTACGCATCAAGGAGAAGACGAAGCGGAGACAAAGGCACGTTAAGCAAGCCAAGAGCAAGCACCGTTATACGCTCATGCGTGTCATGGATGTGCGGGTGAAGACGCCGGATGAGTTGTTGGCGGAAGGCGCGGTGGTCGTGGAAGACTCAGAGGACAGCTCAGTAATTGAACCCCGGTCATAATTGGGTTGTTCGGTGTTTGGGTGAAGCTTTTTTTGAGGCGAAAATGTGATGCCGGACCATGATCCGACAGCGGTTCGAGGTATTGACAGTACTACTCGAGATATGGTCTGATCATTGGGCTGTTGGTAATTGTCTTGCCGCCATGCATTGATATCTTTGCGGCATATTGTACAGATAGATCGATTTGGGCTGTTCTCTGTATGCATTGTATTCTATAGTATTGAACTTTTTCAGAAGATCTCTTATTGCAATGGTGTAGGGCATCATTAAATAGATATAGGCTCTTCCCAGTTCATTTCTTGGGCCAGCCATTATTGCATCAACGTTGAATTTCATTCAACAAAGCTCAATATCTCACCCGCAATCTTCTCAGCGAATGCATACACAACAGATCGTGGATGACCACGCGGTAGAAATGGGAAACTGCTGGCATCCACAACGTTCAACCCCTGCACACCATACACATTGGCATGGTTGTCAATCACAGCCATCGTGTCATTCTCACGTCCCATATAGCACGTTGCTGACGCTTGGTAAATGGTAGACATACTCTGATGAATGAACTTAAGAATCTGAGCGTCAGTGGAAACATCGAAGCCTGGGAAATACTCTTCCTGTTCGGCCACGCCTAGCTTAGCCAACTCCGCCCAAATCTGCCGCTGTCGCTTGAAAGCCTGAATAGCTAGATTCATATCAGTTGGATCTACAAACCATTGCGGATCGATCAAGGGTGGGGTTTTCATGCCAGGGCCAGCGAGACGGAGTGAGCCGCGAGATAGAGGAGCAGTCAATGATCCACTAAGGGGTGCATATTGATGCCCATCCTCTGCATTGGCAATGACTTTGTTGAGATTATAGCCGTTGAATGCACTGATTGGTAACCATTCCAATTCTGGCCAGTCGAATGGGAAACTTGATAAGGCGAGACGAAATTTGCGAGTCAGGTTTAAGCGGAATGGGTCAGGCAATTTCTCCCAGCTGTAGTAGCCTGGTCCAAAGATAGATTGGGCCCCAGTGGAATTTTCTCTGTACTGCTTCGCACCAAGTGCTGCTATAGTTGCATTTGTTAGCCGAGGCTGAAGCTGTGAGGACGCTCACGCGGTGTGTAGCCCTGGAGATTGGGTGGCCTTGCATGTTTTGGCCCACGCCTGGGAGGTCCTTGACGCAGGAAATACCAAGGCTACGCAGATTGCCGCATGGCCCAATGGCCGAGATCATCAGTGGCTGAGGAGACTGGAAGGCACTGGCTGATAGAATGACCCGGTTGCGAGCGTGGAGTGTAAAGTTGACTGGTCGAGTGCCAAATGTGCCTTCAGTCGATACCTGGACCCCTGTTACACGCTTATTATCGTCATCAAATAAGATCTTTTGTGCCATGGTACTCTTGTACACCGTGGGCCCGACGCCTTTGTCCAACACGGCCTGAATAAAGCCGGACTCAAAGCTGGAGCGATGCGTGTTTTGAGGGTCGATGGTGAAGGTCGCAAATACAGAGCCAAGCAATCCACCAATGTTAAATCCATCAATCTGCCTCATGCCGAGGGATACAGATGCCTTCTGGCACCATGTTCCAAGCGCATGCACAGCATTGCTAAATGAGACCTCTAGCGGTCTGTCTGTGGGATTAAATGCATATAGAGTCTGGCTGCTCGTGGAGTTGCTGTGTAGCGCCTGGTTAGGAGTATAGTGAACTAGCTTTTTGAAGTAAGGCAATAAGTGTTCGAAGCTATAGCTCTAGTTATCTACCTCATCAGCCCAGCTCTACATGCTGTCAACTGGGGTAGCGAATCTCTGTTCACCAAAGATTAGGGGTCCGAAGATATTCTCGTTTAGAATTCCCCGAAGTATCTGGTGGAGAGTTTGCAACTTCACAAGGCGGCAAGGCCTTGGAAAAGGGACACAGCAGTATTTTTGATGTAAATTTTTGCTTGGGATGAAGAAGTAATAAAATTGAAGATACTAATCAATATGAAAGAGAGGTTTCAAACAGGGACTATCAGCATAAGAACCTTCATCCTATACTATAATCTCCTTTACCCGCAGTTTCTGTCGGCAAACTTCCAATGACTTCCGTTGCATCTCGGCATATAGATGGAACTCATCCGCCACACATGCCCCTAGGAGCCGCTGGAAACCATCGAGGTCTGAATCCGCGCCCATTATCAGTTGCTTGGACTGGGAGACACCACCCAAGTTGGAATTGAAAATTCCACCCGCAGACAAAGGAAGGAAGTCTTCGTACGTGATAGCCTCATAACTCAGGATCTCCTTGTTGAGAAGATCCTGAAGTGAAACTGGAGGCAATTGCTCCTCCGATAATTCCACGCGTTCGTTAATTAATTGATCACCCAGTGGTGTCAACCGATATGTGAAATATCCCAGTCTCTGATCGTGAAGATCTGACAGACTATCGGGGAACTCTTTGAAGCGCTCTTCCAGTAGCGTGTCATAGGCCTTTCCTTTCAAGCCATTCTTTGCAGCTTCTGCATTGACTCGTTCCAAGATTTGATCATAAAGCTGGCGACCTTCCCGGGTCAAAGCGTAGCCTCGTTGCTCCACTTCACCAAAGCGTGCTGTGTGGGAGCCCTTCACATAGGATCCAGACGGATCCCTGAAATATACGGTTTCCTCTAGAGCCTTGAAGCTTGTCTGACGTAGAAGAATTGGGCATAATCGTTTTGGTGGCCCCTCAATACGATCCTTAGCAGGCATTCCATGATCCAACATCAATTGTTGTACAAGATCGATATCAATCGTTCGGGGCGTTAAGTGGTTGATATGAGAACTGGGGAAAGAGACAATGTCCGCAATCAGAGGATGCTCAGCTTTGAGATGCTCGTATTCTTGAAGGGTGACTGTTGCTTTTGAGTGCCACCGGAATGTCTCAAGACCATTACTGATGAGCTCTGTGCATTGATCCGGTGTCAAAAAGCCCTGGCTCTCTGCTATATCCAATAGAGCAAGAAGTCTGGGCGTGAAGATGTTTCTTTGCTCTAGCGCTTTCTGAGCTAGTTCTCGAGTCCTTTCTGTTAAAAGCTCCATCCGCAAGACTGTCGTGAACACTCGAAATGGGTTCTTCTCGAGTGCCTCTTGGGTATTTGGTCGGAAGGCGGTAGCGTGCATGGGGAATCCAGCGACGCTGAGGTCGTAGTAGCCCACAGGGTGCATGCCCATCACAGCAAACATGCGACGAACTGTAGCCAGTTCATGTGCTGTCCCTAGTCGGATGGCTCCATGTCTTTCAACCCGATGCCGGGCGGGCAAAATATCATCTGGATTTATAACGCGATCCCCCTCGATATTCTGGCTATTTTGAACTGTTTTCGCGTCTGCTTCCCAGACTACATCGATTAGGTCGCCGTAGAGAGGAACTTCGCTCTTGTACATTTCTGAAAGCGCATGACAGAAGCGCGATCGCAAATTGTCCTGATCGAAGGCCATATTGAATGTTTAAGGGATCGGATGTTGATCGGAGAATGAATGGCGAGGAATGAGTCGTGTGAGATTTGTAGAAGTGTGTTATGATTGAGCAGGAATTATAAAATGGACTATTAAACTGGAGAAGATCACGTATCTTATATACCCCGGAGCATTGAGTCAAAGCTGATATCAACTCACCTGCTTTACCCGCTATCTGACGCCTTGCATCGGGGAGATAAGTCACCCCGGGAGTCATCTCCAGGGCTAATCCGTTTGATAACTCTTATTTACATATCTAAATGATTAGATAGTAGGCTCAGTATTGTTATACCTGCTGATAATTACATTCATTCCTTCATGGATGTATGATTTGAAGGTGAAAGTACTTTGTACATCGGGTCTTATCCGTCGGAAGATTGTCTTCCGACGGAACAGCATTGTACCTACTTTGTGGTATTATTCAAACATTTAAACCTGTTATTCTTGAATTAATAAAAGCTATAGCTTCATATCAATGGATTTCAGTGTATTGGAAGTAAATAACGAGGTAGAAATCAGCTATGCTCTCTCGTATAGCTTACGGCTGGTTCCTCTCAATCTATATACCCCAATAGTAGTGAAATCAAAACATATAGAAATCCTTTTTTTTTCAATTACCGTTCTTTTCAAAACCAGACAATAACATACAAACGCTTCCCCAGACCCCGCAAAATCCCCGCGAGAGCCCGCGAGAGGTGAAGAAATTGAAGATTGGCGATTGGTTCGGTAAAGGGGTGTTCCACTTGGGCCAACTCTCATCAGATTAGGCGGAAGGGGAGATCATCGTTCGCTTCTCAAAACACAGTAATCTCCTAGAATAGCCATGGAAGCGCCTGAAGGCAAAGCACGATGGGCTTCGCAACGCCGTGTGCCGCGGGCCTCACGGGCATGCGAAACCTGCCGCGCTCGGAAGACCAAGGTAGGCCGAACTTCACCTTGAAATTGCCGGGGTTTTTTTTGGCCCTTTCGGAAACCAAATCCACTCTAACAATCGGTAGTGCGATCAAGCCCAACCGTGCTCTTATTGCGCATGTATCAATCCCACCTCTTGAAATACCGAGGCAGCAGTTAACCCAGAGACAGATCACTCGTTTGACTGCGTGTTCCGCGCTTCTGATGGGCGCGGAATCCCCGTCGATTCAAACAAAAGGAAACGAGATGCTGGAGAATCCGAGCAAAGGTTGGGGCTTTTATCACATGGGTTTCCGCGCGTCGTCTCTAATCAGATGGAAAGCCAAAGCAGCACTAGGCCATCTCCTTGGCCGGGTATTCATCAACTCGAGACACCCAAAGGCACGAGCAACTCTAAAAAGACGCTATTATCAATTGGCTCTCCCCAGGCCCAGACCCCGAGTTCGTTAAGTGGCCGTCCCAATGTTGTCAATATCACACCCAAAACAACGATCGTGTCGGCTAAGCCATCCGACGCTTCACAAAGTGACCACCGCCCTTCTGCGATCCTAGAATAACTTAACTAATCACCCATTTAGTCCGAAATTCCGAATTAGGGGATGCTGCCTCAAGAGATGGTTTAAGCGGTGTCAACCTGCATACCAATGGTACCGAGTTCTATGGTAATTCGTCAAACCTAGCATTCCTCGGAAATTTATACGCAAGAGCACAGAATCAAGAGCTCAGAGATCAAAATCAACCAGACGAGACTCCTCGGCAAATGCCAGCTTCACCCAAGTATACTAATCCACGATCTCAGCCTTTGTCGCCAGAAACGAGCCACAGCAAAGATAACAGGAGATCAAGCAAATCACAACTCTCAATTGTGAATTTGCTTTATAATGCAGATTACGTCGGACATCCTTCGCCCCAATCTCATGATGGGGCAGAGTTTACAGCACAGAGAAGTCCGCCAGATGCAGATAGCCTCAAAAGCAGGACTCCTACAATGAACAATGGTAAATTTTCCTTTTGTCTTTAATGTTTACCACAGCTCATATGAGTTTCTGACTAGAAGTAACAGACCATGACATCAACTTAGAAGCATTATTCCCCTGTCTTACAGAGACTGCGCAGATGGAGATCGAGAAAACCTTCATTGGCAGCTACTTTGCGAACAAACATTACATCCACCCACTACTTTCTAAAAGTAGTTTTATGCGACGCTGTGGAAATGAAGCATGGCCAATTCCAAATCGCCAGGGACTATTCCGAGGAGTCACGAAGTTTGCAGGGTTATACTTTGCGGTCGTTGCTTTGGGTGCGATCAATGCGAGCCCGAACGAGACCTCCTTACTCGAACATTTCTGTCAGCAATTTGTCGATCCGAATCAGACACAACGAGCTTTGAGGGGGCATAGGTTCACTGCCCTTGACTTTGCTAAATTCTTCTTCGGCCTCGCAAAACGGACTCTAGGTGATCTTTTTGAGAGTTCCTGTTTAGAGTCTGCTCAGACTCTTCTTCTTTTGGTACGTCTATGTCAATATTACATCAGAGGGATGCTCATATTTCTATTAGAGTGTGTTCCGTCAAAATTCGTTACAGCCCCATAGCTGTTACATGTACAGCGGGATGGCTGTCCGTACAGCAGCGGCTATTGGTCTCAGCTCGAGCATGTCTTCTCTGCCTCCTAGTGCGAGGCGAGAAGCTAGACGCACCTGGTGGTAAGCCATGAGCTCAAAATTAGAGTAAAAAGCAAGATACTAACTCTTCTATTTAGGTGTATCTACTCCCATGAAATGTGAGCGTCTACCTCATCAGGATTGTACTTCCCGAAAATGATACTAACATCGATCTTTAGAGAAATGTGTTGTTCCTCAGGACGTCTGGACAGCATGAAAGAGTTGCATTATTACCAGACCTCCCTCCCCAAGATAAAAGTAGGTGGCATCCCCTAATTTGCATGGTGCCATCCTAACAGACCCAGGTTGATGCCGATGATCTCGATCCCGATGCCGAAGACCACGACATAGCGATGATCCCGGCAATGGTCGCCTTAGCCCAAATTATGTCCGAAGCATCTCATCAATTGTACCACTCTATGCGGCGGTCAATAGCTGATAAATCCTGTCTGGCAATGGCACTTGATCAGCGACTTCTTGAGTGGAAAGCAACATTGCCCGCTTTCTTGAATCTAGATGCACATGCACTGAATGACCCCGAATGGGCATTCAAGCAGAAATTGGTCTTGAGACTAAGTGGGGCTCCCTCTACACACCTCATGTTCCAATTCAACGCATTCTAGAAAGAATCACTAATTGAACCTCATGTCTAGGATACTACAATACTCGAATCCTCATCCACAAGCCATTCCTTGTGGCAGCAACTGCAAATACAGACACTTCATCAACGGACCTTTCCGTCCATCTACATACTTGCCTCACTGCCGCCCGGATGAGTATTAATATGCAATACGAGTCATTCCTGCATAGAATCTACATTCGCACCTGGTCAGCCACCATACCTCTTCCTCCTAAGAAAGTATAATTAACAACCCTATTTCCATTATAACAGGTGGTACAACACAACATATGCACTCTACGGTTCAATGATCCTCCTTCATCTCATTCTATCAAACTACCCAGGCCTACCAGACGACGAGCTCCTCGAAGACGTTGAAAAGTCTCTCCAGATCTTCTCCTCTATGGGCGACATCATCGTTGCCCGTCGCTGTGCCGAGATGCTCCGCGAAGTCCTCGAAGTTGCACGCACATGTCTGGCTAGAAGAAGACGGTCTGCCCATAGACCTAACCACAGCCAAGACCGAAGTCAAAGCCAAAGCCAGCTCCCTAGACTCGGAATGCCATATACATCATCAACAGGAATCTTAAATTCGTCTGAGGCTTCATCAGATGCAACCACATTAACACGAATGCATTCCACTCCAAATTCGACACCAACAGGAGGCGAGATCGTCTTACCAGAGGCAAAATTACCCTCACCCATGCATGGATTATCCCTCGACACACCATTGTCTATTCTAGAACAACATACTGATTCAGACGACGGAGATTTCCTTTTTTCGCTCTTCAGCAACGGCACGCAGACACAGCCTGATCGAACGCGGGCGGAGATGCTGGCCAATTTGGTGGATCCGAGTGTTTTGGAGGATTTTGCATTTGGAGGAGGGAATGAGTTCTCATTCTTTTAGTTGAGAGTATACCAAGCGTGTCAAAGGAATAAGATCCCCCCAACCACTGTGTTTGAGCATATTGTAAGTGATACCTTTGTGTATCATATGGAGACATTGGCTAGGCGTTATTCATGATTGAAATAGTAAGAAGGGTCAGCCTAATAACCCACGGGAACTCTAGAAATTATTGTTCACTATCGCAACAGTTACATCAAGAGGCTGATAAGTGATGGGGTTAGGGAGGAGGAAGAGGGAGGGAAATGACAGCCAGAGTCCTAATTGGTGAGGCGTATTTATACTAGTGGACTTCCTTCATATCCATTCATGAGAACCTTAAGGTATCTTTTCAAATCTCTCTTATGTCTCTCTCAGATATCTCTCAGGTGTCTCACAGGCGGCTCAAGATGGTATAAACACGCTTGAAGTTATCCATGACCCGATCTTCCAAGACTCTGGATTCCGTTTACTCCCACATGTCCTACTTGACCTGACGGCCAGCAACTAAGTGACTGGTGTGACGGGGATGAAGTTGTGAAGCTTAAATTCAAGTCTTCCAATGACTTCTCCGAAGCCCGCAGTGTCGTCTCACGTCCGATACAATGGAAAGAGGGAGGTGTCCTAAACCCCGAGTGTCCTGCAAATGCGACATTCAAAATGTTTAACGATCAGATACAATCGATTCAGTTGGTAAGCTGAATTTCCCCTTTCCCTCTATCCACAAATACCTCGATGATCATTACTGACTTCATCTTTCTAGGATCCCACCCAAAACTCTCCGATATCCCACAATGCCCTGAAAGCCAGTATTCTGAGCGAGGGACTGCTCGCGTCATGTGAGCTTCTTGTTATGGACTTTGGCAAGTTCAAGAGCACCTAAGTTGCCAAGATGATCAGGGATAATCAGCTTGGGATAGTCTATAGCAGTATGAAGACATTGGAACAACGGTTTGGAATTCTGTGCCAATTGAATATCGGACCTGCTATCTCGCGGTTTGGCATCACACATATGCGGTAGCCAGACAAAGCGTGGGCTATGCGTAAATTATTCAACAAGGACGATCTCTTCTATCTTGTTCTAGGGAATCCAACATCGACCATGTCATCAATGACTTCAGAGTCGCCATGGACAACGCTCCTCGGTTTCCATTTGCTGGATATTTCGGAAAGCACTTCGATAACCCGTTCATACAGTCGGGAGACTATTCATCAAGCGAACAGGTCGATTTTCGAAGGAGATTGCAACTATACTGTCGTCCTTAAATACATAGGGTACCGGAATTAAAAAAATAAAATCATAATTCATCATCCAACCTATATACATAATTCCCGTCTAGAAACATTGGCGAAAAAGAAACCACAAAAGCAAGCACCAAGCATAGTCTGGTCCAATCCAGACATTCCAAAGCCAGGGTAATTCCGTCGTCACAACGTAACAGGTTTTAGTCCGCTGCGAGGCAAGCAGACTCGGTGCATGGGGGTACATGCACCCATAATCAATAATTTCAAATAAATCAAGCGCTTCATTTCATAAAATCAAGCACAAGTTCCCGAGAAAACGCCATAGCAGAAAGAAGGGGTCATGAGAGAACAGCAGGGAGAGCCCAGAGGTTCAAAATGAGGTGATATGAGGTCGAGGCGGAGTTGACAAAACACATGTAGCATGGGCGAAGAGAAAAGGTAGAAGAGAGGTGGACTTGATCACAGGGGCGCCATAGAGGCTTCCCCCTCCCCATCCTCCATATCACTAACAGATGTAGCTGGTGATGCAAGACCCGACATAACCGAGCTCGAAGCCCCCGTGCCGGCGGCATCCATCATAGCCTCATCATAAGAGCCAAGCGCCGAAGTCGGCATGCGCGGCGGCGCATTCTTGCCAGATGACGCCATGAGCTCCGCGATCCCTGGCTTTGCGGGGACGTGCTTGTGTAGCGCCGTGGCATTATCGAGACTTTGCAGGGCAAAGCCCATGAACTCGGCGTTCTTGTGGCTGACACCTAGAGTCCAGCGGTATTCACACAGCCGAACGCGGTAGAAGTCTGCTTCCTCGTTTGTCGGGGCGGTGATGCGAAGTAGCATGCCGAAGGAGCCGATGAGGGAGAAGTTGGTGCGCGCGGAGGCGGGCCAGAAAGAGCGGAGGTGAGCGGGGCGGAGGCGGTTGACAAAGTCCATTGCGGAGATCAGGCGCGTTTTTGCGGCGGAGCGGCAGATGTGCGCGAGGTACTGGTCTGTGCCTTCGGCGAGGAGGGAGCGGACGATGCAGCGGTGCAGGGTTATTTCGGTAGCAAAGTAGGCGAGGTGGAGGGCGCCGTTGCGGGCGTGTTCGTCTGTTATTGTTTCGACAAGTTCGCCGGTTGAGGTTTCCATCTTGAGGGATGGTGGGAGGGAGGAGAACCAGTCCTTGAGCCGGATTTGGGCTGGTTTGGCCTTTTCTAAGATCATGCGTGTACGCTGGTTTCCAGCGGCGGAGAACTCTTCAATGGCGTGCAATGTATAGAAACGGTCGAGGATGTCGGAGAGGATGGTTGTTAGTGCGACCATATGGCAGAAAAGAAGAGGGCCGTGGCCGACAGCGGTTTCATCGTGCGAGGAGTCAGTGCCGGAGGAAAAGGCGTCCGAGAAGTCCTGCTCTACGAGATCCTTTACCGTCCAGTTGAAGGCGAAGATATGCGAGGGACGGCCGTGCACTAGCGACGACCATTTATCCTGCATATACAAAGCCCACGCGAGGCGTTTCCGCAGGCCTTTTTCCCAAGTCTCCATACGCCAGTTTGTGCAGTCTTGATGTAGGCCCAGCTCGAAGGCGGCCGTGACCAGCTGACCATTTAATGATGCTGTAGCTAGAGTCGACTTCTGTGTCAGCAGAAGCCCGGCTTGGATAGTCGAGACGCTGGGGAATTGTAAAGAATCCATCAGCAGCTTTAAGGCCGAAGCCTCTAGCCGTGTGGCATCGGGTTTGCGTGCAGTTTGCGAGGCTGCACCGACGTCGACGAACTTCAATGTCAAGACGTAGACTGCGGCGAGTAGTAGCGGTGAGAGACCACGGCGCTCACGGTATGATTGACGGAACACATCCTCTATCAAAATCGGGAAGGAAGGGTGTACATGGTCAAAGAACTTTTCGATCAGTGTTGAGCCGTAGGGAGCGACCAGGCTCTCAATAACATCGAGTGACACGGCCTGCGAGTCACCGCCAGGCACGGTGTCGACGACACGCATGAAGGTACCGTCGTCGGCACATCTCCGCACGCGGGAGTTTGAGACTGTGCATTCGTCGTATTGGTCAAGCGGAAGATAATCCAGCAATGTTGGCTCCAGCTCAGTGGTCATGCCAATATACTGGGTTGACTGGTTAAAGAACCCGGGGCGAATCATGTTCACTGCTAGCGGGTGAGACTCGGTCTCCGGGATAGACTGCGTCGGTTGTATTGTTGAAGGTCTAGAGATTGTTAGGGTCCAATTTCTCTTTATATATGGAGCTGATGAAGTATATCCCCAGCTGGTTGTGATTCCATACCGCTTAATTGCTTCTGTGGGCTCCTGTCCCTCCTCCAATTTCCTTTTCTTGGATGTAACTTCGGATTGGGGTGTGAGGCTGAAGGTACAATCCTGGCGATGAAAGTCGCATGAGTAGCATTTATTGACCATTTCGTTCATGGCACACCTGCTCTTTCTGCGGAGACAAGCGTCACAGCTAGCTCCATTCCGTACGCGGGGAAGGGTTGAGTTGATGGAGATGGGGGATGGAGAGAGCGTTGGGGTCGAGCCAGTCTTTCGGCGAAGATCAGGGGAATGGGTTTGGGAATAGCCCGAAGGCTGGATAGTGATAACGGTAGCCATGTGGACCGGAACTAGCCCTGGAGGCACGATAATCGGGCAAATAGGAAGGGAGATAGAAGCGGTGATAGGGTCTTCACGGAGTGTGCTCCAGACGTGTCACTCCGCAATCTATACAATCTTATTCAAGATCTCTCTTTTCTGAGTATACAGAGTCAGTCATTGGATGAGATCATGGTGATAAGAGAGACACATACTCTTATCATAAAAGAAAAAAAAAGTTGGTTATCTCCGAAGCAAGTGCACGATAATCCAAAGCCGGCACCGGAGATCGAAAAGAGAGGTATATCAAGCAGATGAACCTGCAAGTGACTGCAGCAATATGAGATGCCGAATAGTTCGCTCCGTCATTCCTACCCGTTCAAAGATCTGGGGAATAGAGCGAAGGAGGAAGATTGAGGAAAAGAAAGAATGAATTCCATGATGACATCGATCTACGATGTAATAGGTAATATAAACTACCTAAGTAATGGCTTAATTCCGAAAAATGTTGTTACTTACCCGAGTACCAGACGATCAGCTTTTTGCTCTCGTAACGAAAACCTCTATTAAGTTAAACAAGTGACTGACAATTCTGACATTTCTGACAATTATGACACTTTAATTGTCAAAAGATAAGCTGACCATTGCTGATTGGTTCTGAAAGCATACATTGCATTACGTACTGAATATCCTTAGGTCATCATTTTGATTTAATTCCCTACTTGAGGTGGGATATAGATCAAATAGGATCAAATAGTTAGATAATGAGAACCTCAGAATGGCCCGATCTAATTTTAAAATTATTTTAAATATCCCCTTTTTCTCTCTCCCGTTCCCCAGGGATTGTCTTCCTGCATGACCTGGTGGCTTTCTGACTGGTCGAGTGAGTGCTCTACTAGGATCTCCCGAACCAATCACCATCCAGTGATAACGGCTTTCCACCTAACCAATCACAGTTGGTCCCATACTAAAAGTCGCAGTAGCGCCCGAGGGACTCTGCACTCAAAAACTGTGGGGTGAACGTAATGTGGAGGGGAAAAGCCTAAGAGCCTATATATGCACTGTATGCGCTCTATGCACTCTCTATGCACCTTGAGTGCTGTCCCTAACTCGCTATATCCTTTGACCGCTGTGCAATCTAATTTGTAATGCATTTCCAAAATAGGCTGTTTTAGATTTACAAATACTAGTCCCCGGAGTGG